TGGATGGCATCACCGACTCAATGGACATGAGTTTGAGTAAACTGGGAGCTGGTGATGGACAGGGAGGCCTGGTGTGCTGCAGTTCATGGGGTCGCAAAGAGTCAAACATGACTGAGCGACTGAACTGAACTGAACTGAACTGGGAGCTTGACAGTCTCCCAATACATTATGATCTTCTCTAGAGATCAATGGTGATATTAACAAATGCTATTTTTGAATGTTACATAATAAAATTTGTCAAAATTTGGAAAGTTTGCATAGCAATGTGCTGATATTTTCCAAATGATCTATGCATGATGGTACAAAATCCATCCAAAGGGCAAGATCAATCAAAAGTTCACTGATAGACAGTTTCAGATTCCACACTGAAACTAATTTAAGAAACTACCATTTGTAGAGTTTTAATGTTTATCAAAGAAAAATATTCACAATTGCTTCATAAAGAAATTGAAATACTCCCTATTTTCCAACTACATATTTGTGAGGGGATTTTCTTCTTGTACTTTAATCAAAACAACATATCTCAACAGACTGAATTCTTAAGCAGATAGGAGAATCTAGCTATATTCCATTAAGTCAGACAGTAAAGAGATTTGCCCAAATGTAAAACAAGTTCATTCTTCTCACTCAATTCTTTTCATTTTGAAACATGATTGGTATATTAAGTTGTTTTCATTAAAAATCCATTTTATATATAAACATATTAAGTTAATCAAGACATATTTTTAAATTTTCTATTCTAATTTTTAGTACAGTAAATATGGATAGATAAGTCTCTTCTTAAACAAAAGCTCTTTGAAGTCATCTATAATTTTAAGAGCATTAAGGGATCCTGAAACCAAAATGTTTAAAAACCATGGCTCTAGGATCGCTCCCTATCTGTCCATCCTTCATACTGCCACCATCTTTCCAGTCTTAAAGTGATCATGCATGTCCCACCTACAGCCTTCCTTAGCATGCTGAATGAGGCCTTTGGTGATCTGTACCCTGCCTAAATTCCATTCCTTCATTTTTCCATTCCCTTTTAGGCAGGTTGACTTCCACCCATAATGAACTTCTTATAGTTCTTCCCAAACAATCCATGCTCTGTTATTTCTGGGTCCATATACGTGCTTCCCCCTGCCTACCTAATAGGTCTCTACTGATATGGCTTCTTCCCAACCTTCCCCCATCTACCACCACCTCTACAACTAGCTGGTCAAATTCCAACCAGTCTACAAAACTTACCCTAATATCACTTCCTTAGGAAAACTTGTCTTAACCATGCCCTTCCCTGGGTAGAATAAACTGCTCCCTTTAATGCAGCTCAGATAATAACCAGTTATATAAGATTACATTCTAATTATTAGTATAAAAATCTGTCTCTCCCAATGGACAGTCAGTTCCTTAAGGGCAGAGACTATGGGTACCTAGTTCAAGCACAGTGTTGATACAGAGTGGTCCCTCAATAAATATTTCCTAAATAAATGCCCTAAGTTTCCTTCCAGGTTTGAAATTCTGTCATCCATCCCTGTAATAAGATAGTTTGAACCACAGTCTTTCTTGATTAACAGAAGGATGCAATTGTTTTATTGACACACATTAACAAACATAGACACTTGAGTTTTTAATCAAAGAGATCATCTCCTCAGATCTTTTCTGCTTTTTTGTCCTTGCAAGGACAGTTCTGGAGAAAATTTGGTATGTTAAATTTGATGTGTTTTAATAAATTATAATGCACATATATTCATTAATAATATATATTCCACACCAAGGCATCAGCAGGAATTAATTTTTTAAAGTCTGTCCTAATAGGAATATAAAATTATGTAAGAGCTCAGTATAATAAGCTCACAAAGAATAAGAAAGAATAGAAAAAAAATTAAAATAGAACTACTAGAGAACTATGAGAGGTTTCTAAACAGCAACACTATACATGAAGCCCCAAGAAACTCTGTTCACTATAATCTTTAATGTCTCAGCCTATCCAAATACTGAGCAAACCCTAGGTCTCCTTGCAGACAGAAAGCTGAGAGTCTAGAATTGAACTGTCTTCTCAGGATTTAGAGACACCAGCATGGTAATTTCAAAGAGACGTCTTTACTTCCTTTTGCTCAAGACTCAAGATCTTTATTCTGGCCCCTGATAAGTGAACGAAGGTAAAGAATTATTTATTTTTAAAATAAATGTTCATGATTTTGTGATGGTACCTTGTTTTGTGTCATCTCAGAGAAATCGAAGTCATTTATAAAGATTACTGGAAGATTTCTACATTAGATGTTTAAAATCATTTCATTTTAAAACGTAGGTGCCAGGAGACTCCAATTAAATGAGTAAAATTAGTTATTTCTTTATGGAAAAGTGTTGCCACATATGTGATAAGGTATTTCGATGACAATGAGGTTGCTTGCTTGTATGTGCTCAGTTGTGTCCAACTCTTTGCAACCCCATGGACTGGGGGCCCTAGCAGGCTCCTCTGTCCATGAAATTCTCCAGGAAAGAATACTGGAGTGGGTTATCATTTCCTACTCCAGGGGATCTTCCCTACATAGAGATCAAACCTGCGTCTCTTATGTCTCCTGCACTGGCAGGCAGATTCTTTAAAGAGGTTGAGGAAGATAAATGACAAACTCAGTACCACAAACCCAGTACCCACAGACTTAATACTAATCTAGATCTCTGAAACCAACTGCTGCAAGGTTTTCATTCCAGTGTCAATAAAGAAACCAAAATCAGTTCAAGTAAATGTTTAACTACAAAAGTAACCTTTCTTTTCCCTTAAGAGAGCAGCCAAGTTCCACAGAAATTTTTAAAGATATTTTTCTCATGCTTTGTCATTTTCATTTAGCACTTGGGAAGAACCCTTATTCATTTAATTCACGACAGGTGATAAGAGACAGGTGGATCACACATCCCTGGTTGTTTAAGGCTTTCAGTTAAAGGCAAACTCCTTCCCCACTGAAAAGTACAAAAGCTGTGATTATTCCACAGCTGCCTAGACTTGAAATGACTATGTTGCCATTGAATTTAACACAAAATGGCTGAAACCATTAATTCTACTTTGTGCCATCTACCATGAATTTAGAAGGCACAAAATAGATAGCTGAATGATTTTTAAGTAAAACAGAATAACTGTTCCCAAACCTTCTGATCCATATACCACTTGATGCAGCATAAGAAAGAGCCTTGTCCCATCACAAATCAGAAGTTTTTTTTTTTTTTTCCAGAACTAGTAGGGGATATGGCACAGTTTTTTGACAAGTCTGATAATTTATAACTTACCTGGAATATACCTTCATAATAGCAGGAAATATAATGATGGTATCATACTATGAATATGAATTCAATGGAAAGACATAGGTTTTAAAATATTTTTTGTCACTGGGACAGACCTGGGAACCAGTAATTCAGATATACACAAAAAACACACAGTATTCTGTATCATTTTTCTTATGTCACTATAAGATCTAAAATTTCTCCTTCTCTGGAAACTCACTATCTCCATGCAATGAACTGCCAAGAAGTAGAATGCCATTTAGGGATAAACTACTATGGTGACTAGAGTAAGTGTCGGGGGCAGAGGAAGGTGGGTATCTGGGGATAGGGAAATGTCACAGCTGACTTCCATGATTATTCTGATGCCATGGTTGTAGATCATTCTACAAGATGACTGATGTACTCATTGCATTTCATTGTTATTGTTTCTATTTTCTATATGGATTTGTAAAATGAGATTCTTGGCACAAGGCAAAATAAAGTAACTGCCAACTCATGTTTCAAATTTTATGTAGCTGATTTCCTGTATTTCTGACAGTTCTGTCACATTTCCAGCAGATAGAATTTCTTCCCTCCCCCGGGAAATTGAGCAGGTCCACTCCACGTGTCTGCCTTGTCTCCTCCATTCCCCTTCCAGGCATGGGGTAGGCGTGTGTGAATGCGCCCCTGCACTCTGCACATCCCAGTCCATTCCTGAAGCTGGAGTTCCAGCAAGTTAGGACCTCATTTAAAGAACAGTGGCTTGACTTGCAAAGATGCTTGAAACCACAACAGAGGAAAGGGTTGAAGGAACTAAAGATAATGAGATCACGATCACTGACACTAACACAGTGCTTGCTAATTCTGGAAACTAGTCTAAATATTTAATGCAGATTAATTTATTACTCCCTTACTAACCTGGGGGATCAGTTCTCATATTATCCCCATTTTATAGATGAAGACCGAAGCACTGAGGGATTACATTTGTAAAGTCATGCCGCTCAACAGTGACGGAGCCAGGGTTTAGAACAGAAGGAATCTGGCTCCACAGTCCGGTACCTTTACTACCCTACATCAGATGAAAGATTCAGGAAGAAGATGAAAACTGCCTTGGAATACTTAAAGAGGAGCAGACAGGAAAAGGAAATACATTCTGCATTGCTTCAGAAGATACCTCAGGAGGAAACTAAGCGAAAAGCTAAAGGAAACAGCTCTGACCTCTCTGTCGACGCTGGCAGTCAGATCTTGCCTTAGAACCAGTGTTCAGTGATGCTGGTAATTAGAACAGTGCTTGGGTTCCACAAAATTCTTTTCCTACCCTGAGATTTTATGAGTTGGCGGTATACCACTATATTGTCACCAGGATATTTTTCTTTGGAGTGTTAGTAAGATATGATAAAAGGAGGAGGGAGAGAAATAATGGGTCCCTAGGTAATTTTATTGACAAGCATTCTTGGCACTAATCTTTACCAAATGTTTACTCTGATTTGGTGTAAAGGTATCAGAACAGACATTTGATAGACATATAAAGTTGTCTTATTGAACATTAGATTGGATAATATTTCTAAGTTAAAATTTTTAGTGCAGCATGAAAAGCACTACTTAGTGTTTATATTAAAATAATTAATACAAGAAATATTAACACCTTGGTTGATTTTCTTAATCTCTCTCATTCTCTTGCTTTCCTAACCCTCATGCATTTTTTTTAAATTGCAGGCTATTCTTATGCAAGAAGCTAAACGTAATTAAATGTGCAGGATGAAAAGATGGCACAGGCACTGTTGGTACCCCCAGGACCTGAAAGCTTCCGCCTTTTTACTAGAGAATCTCTTGCTGCTATCGAAAAACGTGCTGCAGAAGAGAAAGCCAAGAAACCCAAGAGAGAACAAGACAATGATGAAGAGAACGAACCAAAGCCAAACAGTGACTTGGAGGCTGGAAAGAATCTTCCATTCATTTACGGAGACATCCCTCCAGGGATGGTGTCAGAGCCACTGGAGGACTTGGACCCCTACTATATCAACAGGAAAGTGAGTGTTGATTTTATCCTTCCCTTAAGTCTTTACCTTGGAACTTTAATATACTTTTCTGGGGCTCATGGATACACTGCACCATAAGTTTTCTACTGTTTAAGATTTTATAATATTTATTTCCACTTATTTTTAAGTACCATGTAATCAGCAGAAACATAAGAAATGAAGTCAAGATCTGGCCAAAGTGAAGTGATACAGAGATGAACTATTTCTACAATTTCACAGTCACTGATATTGACAAAATTAAAATTGACACCAACAAAGCAAAACATGATATTGGTGACATATTTAAACACATAGTAGACAACAGAATAATAGCTATGTGAAATAAGAGTTACAGGGTACATATCCTTATTTTTTAATTCTTTGACTGGAGGTTTCTTCACGATAGATTTGTATTCTAGGGGGTAATAAATAATCTTTTATTTAGCATCCTCCTATAGGAAGACAGAAAAAATGTTCACCCAAAGATACATTTTTTGGGTCCAGTAACCTGATTGGGAGGTTCTCTTAAACTTAATCTGTGACAGGTTAGATTCCAGAACACCTACATATTGTTAAAACATCACTCTAAGAAAAAAATATCAAGAAAGGAAGACAAAAAAACAGAAACTCAAGTTTTTCCATCTATATATGATTTAAATAAACAATTATGACTATGTCTTTCTAATACTATAATAACCATATAAGTCTGTCAGAATCAGCTAGTTTTTGATGTTAAACCAACTGTGCAGTATTTTATAGGAAGTATAAAAAATAGATGATAGATCCTGTGCTCTCTAATTAGGTATTTTGGCAGCTTACAACCATGATTTATATTTCACATTCACAGACATAAAAACTGGCCCATGTAGAAACTAAAGAAACATTAATATCACTAAGAGTTATTGGCTTACAGATTAAAGGAAAAATTGGGCACTTTTATTAGTCAAAGTCAGCCCTTTTAAAAGGAATGGCTAAAGAAACTATTTTTTAAGCAGCGTACAACTTATAAGATCAATGATGGCTAAAGGAACTGACAACCATTCAGACCTGGAACTAGCCCTATTGCTCTGAAGGAGTGCTTCTGAAACTATGTACATATAGAGGATAATGTTAAAATACAGATTATGATTCCATAGATCTGGGGTGCGGCCATGGAGCCAGCATTTCTAGCAAGCTTGTGAGTGAGACTACTGCTGCTGGTTACATGGGCCCACTGGGAGTAGTCAGCATTAAAATGCATTATTTAACGTTACACAGCCAATTAAAATAAACAGGTCCTTTCTGTTTCCTTTTAAACTAGCTTCATGAAAGGTGGCATATAATATATATTCATATAGTTCTAAAAGTAATTTATTCCAGTACTTTACTATAGAATTGGTGAAGACAATTTTGAAATTTAGTAACTGTACTATTACACATGATGATGAAAGTGAGATATTCCCCAAGAAACTAGAAGAAAATTCTCCTCTGGAAATTATTGATTCAAACTATGTATTTGCAAAGATGCCTTCAAGAGATGGCGGTATGACTTATACTCTGACATGATTAAAAGTATTTGCTACTTAAAGAAAGGAAGTGTCCTTAAGATAGGGAATGGGTAAAATTAAGGATGGGCAAAAGAGAATAATGAAGAAAAATATTATATTTTCTCAGGGAGACAGATTTTCAGTTAGTAGTAGTCCTGAAAGTACTTTCCTCTCAGAAAGTCACTTCATTGGTGAGGGCCTACACTGTGCTACCTAATCGAGACGTCATCAAACATCCATATTAATTAATTAAGTCAGTTTATTTAGACTCCATGCTCAACAAAGAGTATTTTATTATAATTCATCTTCCCATTGATCTGCTGAAAGGAAAGAATGTGCTGGCTATGCTACAGCAATTATTCCAACCCGTGTGACAGTGATCTATCTGGTTGTAATCTATCTGGTTGTATATAAATAGATTGGCATTTTAATTTTATATCAGGCTTTCAAGCTTGGTTAACGTGAGTCTGCCGCTAGGAAACAGAATTGCTCTTTATCTGCTAACAAAGTCAGTTTTTATTGCATCCCTGTCTGACAGCAAGAGTAGAACCCATATTTATTCATAATGGCCATGACTCATCTTAAGAGACATCTAGAGTGTATGTATACTGTTGTCTGCCCTGCTTTCTGTTATGAAGAGTCTATAAGGATGAAGACTGAGGGGCTATTGAAGAAAATAGCCCTTGGGACAGAAGGAGCTGATGTAAGAAGCTAATGGAGAAGCTCTGGAATTTAAAATATGATATAGAGCTTGTTAATTATATGGAATAATGCAGGTGAAAGGCGTTTTAAAATTATAAAGCATTATGAAACTTTGGTTCCATCAATTAATGTCATAATTTTACATACCTAATTGAGTCATATAAGCAAAATCACAATGTATTTTAATGGCATTCAAATTGACCAGATAAAACTTGAGAATAGTGACAGTGATTGTAGTAACAGCTAAAATTTACTATGCTCATACTTTGTCAGGTATTGTTTGAGTGCTATAACTCGTATAACTTATGTAATATTCAGTGGAAGACAAGGCAGGTACTAGATTTTCCTCATTTTGTAGACAGGGAAGTGAAGCACAGGGAGGTTAAGTAACTTGTCCAAAGTTACACTCCATAAGTGATGAATTAGGATGTGAACCTAGGCAGTCAGGCTCCAAAACCATATACTGTGTTTATTATATAATGAAAGAAAATGTTTTAAAAAATTAGTTATATAATTTTGAATTATCTGATAGATATGGTTCTACTCAGAGAACTTATTCTTGCCTTAAGTAGTAAAAACTTTAGTGAACCTGTAAGATGGGCATTTACCTGGAAAAAAGAAGCAAGCACCATTCCAGAGTAGATAATATCCAGTTTAACATACTTCCAGATATAACATTCATCACCTTAGTAGAAATATATATACTATTTTCTCAAGTCACATCATTACTTATCACTTCTTAGAGAACAGATTTTGGAATTGGCACTATTGATCTCTTCTCTATCAGTCATTCTCTCAAATAATTTTCAGTTTTGATATATCTCTCAACAAAAGAGCCCCAAATTTCAAATACCTTTCTTGTCATTTGTTCACCATACAGGACAACAACCTTTTATACTTTACTTCTCAGAACTCAAGGTTTTCTTTCTGTTAGGGGTTGTTCTCCAGAAATAAACTGGGATTGTGTTCTTAAGGTCTGCTTTATTCCAGAATCAGTAAATTCACTGAAGATGCCCTCGGCATGTCATTTTTAATCCCATTAGTACTGCAAAGGCTAATCTTATGGGAAGAGGCAAGGTGTCCATGTTTAAAGAAACAGTTCATTTCTGTTCACTCTGATCTTCAAGATTTTTCAAAATAAAATCCTCTCAATGTTACATTTGGCTTTTTCAGGGATATTGTTTTTAAAAAATGAGTAAATGCACCTTAAACTGTGGTAAACTTTACATGTCACTTCTGTCATTGAATGTCTAAACAGACCCAGACCCAGACTATTATTGCTTGACTACAATAATAAATGATTTAATCCTATGAATTCAAAAAATCCTTTAATGCATCTGTGTTTCAAGAGCAGGCATCCCAGTGCCCACTCTCCCTTGTGAATAATCTCAGTGCTAGTAAAGAACAGCTTATTTGCCCTCATCATAGCATTTTTCCAATCTATAGATTACAGTTCATAGAAAATAGTTGGTTAGGTCTATGGTCTTGAATACAAAAAGGCAACGTGCAGAGAAGTCACTTTCTCTACACTTTATACTTACATATAAATATTTTCTATTCATTAAATGTAGATATTATACTCACAATATTCTATTCAAACAGAGCATGTTGTCAGTGAACATGAATGTCTAGGATACAGTCCTTAGTTAATTTAATCACACAAGCAACATCACAATGCATTTTAATTGCATTCAAATTGATGGTGTAAAACTTGAGAATAGTGAGAACATATTCATAACTAAATGGTTATATAGAATAGATATCTTAAAAGTAAATAGCATCTTAAAGGTAAACTCACATTTAATTGAAACAAGAGTTTATTTGCAAACCAGGCTATTAAATGCTGTGTAAAAACAAAATGGAAGAAAAAAGTAGCTAACTGGTTCTTTATGTTCAATGATTTATAACAACTTCTAAGCTAGTCCTTAGTGGAATGAATTCTACAAATAATTTCTGCTTGACTATAATTACAAGCAGCATGCCAATGTGTGTATATTAATATACTAAGACTTACTGGAAAAGGGAAACAATTGGGGAGTGATCAAAAGGCAGTGTGATTTATCTGGAAAGACATAATGGTGGAGATGATTTTGACAGCTGAGGACATTCCTGGAGAGTAGGGATTTTCAACCCATGGCTGTATACAGAATCACCAGGCGAAAATGTTTAACATACCATTGTCTATGCCCATCCTTCAGAAATTAATTCTGTTGTTCTCTGGTGGATCCCATATAACAGCAATTTTAAGATCACCTCAGGAGATTCTAACATGTGGACAGGACTAAGAACATTTGATATAAGAGTGGGTCATTGTAGGTGGAACCTTACTGTCAGGTCTGTTATGGACCTGAACAAAAGTAAGTTTGCATTACATGACCTCTCAGGTGCCTCCTTCCTCTAGGATTCTATGACACTCATCTTGAGAATCAGAGTGAGAAGTTGATAGTAAGTGGGATTGACAAGTGAATTGAATTGGCTGGAACAAAGGTGCTTTGGTGGGAAAAGAAATAAAAGATGATTCCAGAGAGACCTAGTAGGTAATCACCATCTGAGCCACCAGGGAAGTCCCAGAATACGGAAGTGGGTAGCCATTCCCTTCTCCAGGGGATCCTCCCAAGCCAGGGATTGAACCCACATTACAGGCAGATTCTTTACCATCTGAGCCACCAGGAAAGCCCAGCTTAAATGCTAAATTGATGACTATGGGTTTCAGGTCATAGGAATTTAGCGACAGAATGACCTTTGAAATGATGCTGCTGCTGCTAAGTCGCTTCAGTTGTGTCCGACTGTGTGCAACCCCACAGATGGCAGCCCACCAGGCTCCGCCGTCCCTGGGATTCTCCAGGCAAGAACACTGGAGTGGGTTGCCATTTCCTTCTCCAATGCATGAAAGTGAAAAGTGAAAGTGAAGTCGCTCAGTTGTGTCTGACTGTTTGCGACCCCATGGACTGCAGCCTACCAGGCTCCTCCGTCCATGGGACTTTCCAGGCAAGAGTACTGGAGTGGGTGCCATTGCCTTCTCCATGAAATGATGCATTTCAGCCTAATTCTTAATTTGGCTGGTCCTTCTCAGTATTACAGCAGATCTATAGGACAAGCAAAACCAGTTTATTCGGCCTGTTTGAACATTTTAAAGTAGGACAACTACCACAGGGAAAATAGCTTCATAAACTTTGGAGTTAAAAGATTTGATATAATTAAAATATTTATAAAAGATCATTTTAATAGCAGTATGTACAGAATAACCTGAAAAGTTACCAAAACTGGGGACAGATGGTAAGCCTTAAATAGAATTAGAGTCCATAAAGTTAATTTACAACTTGATACAAATTTTGTGTAGGATCATCAGTGTGTATTGGGAAGTTGATACCTGAGAGACAGATTAGATAATAGTACATTGTATCTTTATTTGTAGTTAAATGTTAATTTAGGGGAGAAAAAGTGATATCTAATATGTTTATACTTATACAAACTGGCTTAAACCAGTTCAAACAAATCAGGTAAAAATTTTTATGTGTGTAAACTCTTCATATAAGCCACGTCTAATCTAGTAATTTTTTCTCATGTGTTCTTTTTCAGACTTTTATAGTATTGAATAAAGGGAAGGCAATTTTCCGATTCAGTGCCACCTCTGCCTTGTATATTTTAACTCCACTAAATCCTATTAGGAAAATTGCTATTAAGATTTTGGTACATTCATATCCTTTTTATGTGAATTGTTTAAATGTTGTTTATAGTAGCTGATTTTATAAAGAATGTCTTTCTTTTTATAATATACATATGATTCTTTCAGATTAATTGGTAACTTTGTTGTTTAACCTATTGTACTCATTGATTTTCTGCTATTTATAACAAGGTTATGTAGAATGACAATTATGATTCTAGGAGTAAAAATACAACTATGGTAGTAAATGAAACACACTGTGTAGCAGGAACAGCAACAAATCTCCTTCAAACTTTTATTAACCTCAATTAGACCATATATAACCACCATTAAAGAAGCATAGCCTACTGTGCTTAGTATTATTATCTATATTCCAAATGTTCAAATTTTTGTGTCTTAATTGGTTCTGTATCTTCATCACCTGGACTTCCCTTCCTTCCTTATTTTCTTCCTTCAGTAAATATTTATTAAACTGCTATGTATCTATGCATCTGATTGATAATATCTATTTAAAAATCATTGAACTTAAAACTACTTACAGTGACAAGGAAAAGAGGACTGATAGCCTTTTGAAGTGCTTTTGAATTCTTCCATTCTATGGTTTGATATTGGAAAGTATTTACATTTTAAAACAGAAAGATTTACTTCAAAAAATGTAATCATAAGTTTTCTTAGAGTGAAGACTGGGTCAAAATTCTAAGAGAAATGACTACAGCTAATTCTTAGAAAGGTTTAAAAACAGTGTGTATTTAGGTATGGTATGGACAAGATACAGAAAGATAATTAAATGTCCTAATAAGTTCCTGTACTCCCAAGTGAAAATTAAAAGTTAGAAAATAAAACTAGCTCATTAGCAAAATTTATCTCTCCCTCTATTCTTATGTGGTGAATGCTAAAGGAACAAGTTCCATCACTGTAAGACTACTAGAGTTCCTAATTACAGTAGAATCGATCAATGTAATCCTTGAATACACAGGGCTATACATTCTCAGGCTTATTATATTCCATTCATTAACCTTTTGTCCATCAGTGGAAATTTTAAAGGGTATCTGAAGTATAACTTTTAGACTTACACTAGAAAATTCCCATTTGCTTCAAACAGAGATCTCTTTCTATTGAATTCAGTTTTGTGAGGGAATGATGCAAAAAAAAAAACAATGAACCAAGAATACAAAGAATATATGACAGACTTCGGAGTTTCGTTTTTTTCTTTGTCATTGATTTAAAACAAATAAGTAAGATTAATTTTACAGGTTAACTTGGTTTCTTTGTATTGGATTATTTGTAAATGGCCACAATATTGTACTAGCACTTATTCCTTAACTATAATCTACTTTATTCAGCATGCTTATCATGTGCACTATCTTGACCAACTGTGTATTTATGACCTTGAGTAACCCTCCAGACTGGACAAAGAATGTAGAGTAAGTAAAAATGATTTTTTGTAATGAGAAATGCACACTAAAATTTTCTATCAATCTCTTAATTATGGTCTGACTTATGGTTTCCACTTTTTGAAGTCAAACTAAACACTTCTAAGAAATAACTATTTGCATAATATGGAAAAAACAAGGGAATTTTTTTTTTTGAGAGGGAGATGTATTTCTCCTATGAGATAGATATTTCTTCCAACAAATGATAGCATTTGATTAAGAAAGGTTATTAAATTATATATACTAGCTGGTAAGCTAAATAATCATTTATCATAAAAGTTAAGACTGAATCACAATTATGCATTTTAGATAAAATACAATGATCATTTGAGCATAAATAAAATTATTTGATTCTAGTATATTACTACTATTGTTATATTCTGATAAAATTGATTTAGGTGTTTAGCTCTATATCACTAGCCAATTCAGTTATACACTATATCAGTATATTAAAAAAACACTTATGTGTTTAAGTTATTTTGATGTTTAGTTATATTTAGGTACATAGATTATTTAGACACAGCATGTGTGCTAGAAACATCACAGATCTGTAAAGGAAACAAAATGTCTTTGCAAAACCATATTCAAATAATAAAAAGGCTTAAGGGGAAAACGTGATTATAGATAGATCTCTCATAACTTTTAAAACTTTGTCATTAGAATACTAATAGAAAAACATAACAATCCCATTAAAAAGACACTGGCCCAGTTAAATCTCTTGGACATTTGTACCTAAAGTCTTAGCCAGCAACCCTTCTGCAATCTTAGACCTGGGCTTTGTCCTTCCTCCCTTGAAATGGAGACTCTGGCAATGATATCATCAAAGTAAAACATTTGATTCGATATTTTAATACAGAGGGAAAGAGCTAAGCACCGTATTTTGGGCATGTTAATCTACACCCTGCTTGCACTAAAGAAGGAACTTCTGTCAATTTTTCTGCAATAGTATTAAGGTCTTTTATTGCTTAGGATGTTTTGTATAAGTGCGAATGAAAAGGTACCCCTGATTATTTCAAAACACTAATATGCTGAAGAAAACTGTGTGTGAAGGAAAACGTGCCCCTGATTATTTTAAAACATTAATACGCTGAGGAAAACTGTGCTTTAACTTAAAATCTTTGCATTTTAACAGCATTATTCCCCAATTTGTCAATCACATATAAGATTATTTGTGAAAGAAACATGCCTTTTTTTTTTTTTTTTTTTAGTGAAACAGAAGGTGTTTAAGCTTAGACAGTCTATTTATATAATGGGCTAATACAATGATCAGGTATTTATTTTAGTGAAAAAGAAAATTGTATGTTCTTACTGTTATATTTTTAAAGTAATGTCCAATAGGAGATAAGCTATTATAACAAATACTGACACTTTCATTTCTGTTTTTTATAGATTTCTAAGAGAATTTACAGAATCATTCTAAGCCATCATTCATCAGTGCTTTAACATATTAAAGACTTTTTTGACAGTTGATTGAAAAAGCTCCCTAGAAATCATTTTAGTAGAGAATCCAGTTCTTATGTTGAGGCAAGCCATTTAACAGAATTCTCACTTACCATTTACAATTTTGGACTTAACAAGTGGATATACCTGTATGAAACTATTCTGTATATATTTTTCCCTGAAAAATTACTGACATACTAAAACACATATGAATTTATTTATATAATGTTAATAAAAGGCAGGTAAAGGGGACACAAATATTATTATTTGAATATGCAGTTTTCTTTTAAGTTATTTTTAGAGATGTCTATATCCATTGTGAAAAGTCAGCTTTACAAAAGCTTTTGACTTACACCGTTTAGTTGGAAAACTTTGCACAGGTTTCCTAATCAATTATCTCTAGTCATCTGACAGCAAGGCAGCAGGAAAACAAGCAAAATATTAGTGATTACAGTAAAAACAAACAAACAAAAAAAACCTTAAAAAAACACAGTCCAGTGAAAAGAGAAGTCAGTTTTGACAGGAAAATACAAGTCACTGATAGCAGAAATCTTCCCTATCCAAAGAGATGGCATACCGAGGACCATATTATATAGTGAGAGTCATATTATGTAAGGCAAATCATTTCTATAGATATCAAAATTACAGGGGGAAAACACCTTGTAACAGAATCAATAACATGATTAAGGATCTAGTGGTGTCAGAGCCAGGAAAAATCAAGGTCCCCCTTGATTCTCACTGACCCATTCAATCTAGTTTTCTAACAGGTATATCTGAACACCTGTTCTGTGCAAAGCTGTCTTAAATGTTAAGCTCTAAGACCCTCTTCCTTGGATGGCTATCAACCCTCACCATATATTCTAAATGTCCCCACAAATTTTCTTCCTTTCCCAAAAACAGAAATAGGAGTAGGGACTGTAATCTTGCTCCTAACAACCCTGTAAATAACTTAGAATTGCCTAAGCATAAACCATAGGGCACTATCTATTAATGTGATAAACAACATACATGGGAACTGTCTCTTATGGTCTTTTGCAATGCTAGGAATCTCTCCAAACAGAAATATCATGGCGATTATATGTAAATATACAAAGATTCAAACCAAAACACAAGTAACCATAAGCTTGGCATTGGAAGTTCTCTCTCTTGCTAATAAAATCAGCTACTTCATAATAATAAGTAAAGACAGCAATTATGCTTACTCTTCATGAAATCAATTGCATTTTTTTAAAAAGGAGAAAAACATTCCTAGGAAAACTAGACATGAAGATTCTCACATACATTTTCCTGTGATTTCTTTGCTCCCTCATAAGAGAGAAATGTCTACAGAAAAAAAAAAGCAAAAATAATTTCCCTTTTTTTTCAAGTGAAAAACACTAGTAGACTGGAAAATATAGTGAATTTTAATAAAAGTAAATTCAGTCTTTGTGGCTTGAGTGAAGTAATCTGAAGAACAAATTTAGATTATACTTTTTAAAAAGAATACAATGTTGAAAAACAAATACTCTCTCCCAACTATTTTTGGAAGAAACAGAAATAACTTATACTGTCAACATTCAAAGGAGAGGGCTGGTAATGCTCTACCAAACAGCAAATAGAAAAGTATTTCACTATTTGGGGGACTGAAATTTTAATTGAGCATGTTTAAATGAGAGTCCCTTGGACTGCAAGGAAATCCAACCAGTCCATCCTAAAGAAAATCAGTCCTGAATATTCATTGGAAGGATTGATGCTGAAGCTGAAACTCCAATACTCCGGCCACCTGATGTGAAGAAATGACTCATTTGAAAAGAGCCTGATGCTGGGAAAGACTGAAGGCGGGAGGCGAAGGGGACGACAGAGGATGAGATGATTGGATGGCATCACCAACTCAATAACATGAGTTTGAGTAAACTCCGGGAGTTGGTGATAGACAGGGAGGCCTGGTGTGCTGCACTCCGTGGGGTCGCAAAGAGTCGGACACGACTGAGTGACTGAACTGAACTGAAATGATTTGGCCCAAGTGCATAGAGATAGTAACTGATGTGAGGTTAGATGCAGGAATTTTGTTACCCCTGAATTTTGGTAGTTGTGTAGACACATACACATAGAATACTAATGAACTGAAAATTTTTGGTGAACATATGAGAGAAGCAGATTTACAGCATTATGCCTGAATCTTAAGGATATAAAGGGGAAGTTCATTTTTTATATTAGATGCATAAAATATCTTCCAAATTATTCTAATCATTAAGAAGTCTGAATGAAATATTTTATTATAAATAAACAAATCCAAGAAATGTTATCTCTAGAGCTATACTGTCTAGTGAGGGAGAAGGTAGACACATGCAGCTTGAAATTTGAAACTTGAAATGTGGCTACTTTTAATTGTTGAAGAGATAGCATTTTAGACATATTGGTTTAAATAAAATATAACATGCAAATTAAGTTTATTCATTTCTTCTTTTTATTTGGTTACTAGAAATTTGAAAACTGTATATGTAGTTTGTATTAAATTTCAGTTGGACAGTGTTACTCTAGAGGATCAAGCCTGATGATTATCCATAAAACACATGAAACTATTACTATCAAACCTAAATATTTAAACAAGATCAGATTCTTAGTAGAAAGGATTATCTCTTCAGTTTAACCCTTTACTCATAAGCCTAAACTAGTAGATTTTTTTGTAGGTGGGAACAAGGAATTCCATCTTAGTGAACTGAAAAACCACAAAAGAATCAGATTTGCTCTATTTTAACAGTTCAAATGAAATTGTTAATTTTTGTTTGGATGCTTTTCCTAGGTACACATTCACTGGAATCTATACCTTTGAGTCACTTATAAAAATCTTGGCAAGAGGGTTTTGCTTAGAAGATTTTACATTCCTTCGTGACCCATGGAACTGGCTGGATTTCAGTGTCATAGTCATGGCGTGAGTATTTTTAAAAACGTGTTAAGCTCAAAGGCATGAAACAGTTGTAGCACAACAGGTTGTTGTGACATGTTTTAAATGTAAAGTTTGCCTGTTAGCCAAGTTAACTATATGCCTCATATATTTTGAGAATACATATTAGAATATATATTGCAAGGTAAATGTATCTGATAAATGAGCAATAAATGGAATTACTTTCATGTCATAGTCTTCTACTTCATCAAAATGAAGTTATTCATTGACTATAAATTTAATACCACCAACTGTACTTTAATTAGCTTTTCAAACAAACGTTCAGATTAGTGAAAGCTATACTGAAATAAAGCAACAAAATTTTATTCCTTAAAGGCAGCTTTTAGCACATGACACCCTGAAGTCTAGCATTTCTGTAAAATTCAAGGGGCTCTGTATGCCAAACCAACCCACTTTTCATTCTTTTTTTAGTATAAACTTTGCCAAAACTATCAGTAACTCTGATTTAATTCTACAGGTATGTAACAGAATTTGTAAACCTAGGCAATGTTTCAGCTCTTCGAACTTTCAGAGTCTTGAGAGCTCTGAAAACTATTTCTGTAATCCCAGGTAAGAAGAAACTGGTGTGAGATGGTAGGCCCCTTATATCTCCAACTGTTTCTTGTGTTCTGTTATTGTGTTTGTGTGTGAACTCCCCATTACAGATATGTGACAGAGTTTGTGGACCTGGGCAATGTCTCAGCGTTGAGAACCTTCAGAGTTCTCCGAGCGCTGAAAACAATTTCAGTCATTCCAGGTGAGAGCTAGGTTAAACACCGAGGCTGACTTTAAATACACTGTAATAATACTGAGGTTGAAATTACACATGTACTATTAGCCTTGTTGCTTATCATGTTTGTTTTCTTTTATCTTCAAGAATGCCAAATGAAATTACATGTTTATTTATAAAGTCAGCCTTTGAGTTTAAAATAAAATACTAGTTTTGCTCTCTTTCTCACCCACTTTTTTGTGCATTTATGATGTAATGTTTTCTTTTTTACATCCTATAAAAGTTTTGCTATCATGGCTTTACTAACTGATTTAGATTTTACTGTTTACCGCAGATACATTTTGAAAGTGGATCTCCTCTTATAAAGGAGAATAGATTATTACTGAATGGCATGGGATGTTAATTATCTTAAAATTCTTTTCTCCTCTAAACCACTGAAACTTGGAAAGCTAGTATTAAAAAATGGTTGGAGAGAAACAGCCTCCTGAAACACAAAATGTGAAGTGAAAAACTGCAAAATGTGAAGTGAAAAATAACTGCAAACTTGTCTTTACATGTTCATAGCAGCACATAAAACTACACATTAAAAAAAAAAACCAAAAACTTCCTGCCTAGATGTTTACCCCTTCATTTTAAACCTCCAAAAAGCACACTGCTCATAAATAAAATCTGCTCTTCATCCATTTCCCAAACCATCTGGCTGCCCATAAAGCTTTGTTGTCTAAACAGACAGGCAACTGTTTGTGGGGAAAGAGAATGTATATGACTATTAAGAAGACTCTATGGCTTGTGACACTCTTCCTCAGCTGACCTCATTCTCTCTCCACAGGTTTAAAGACCATCGTGGGGGCCCTGATCCAGTCTGTGAAGAAGCTTTCTGACGTCATGATCTTGACTGTGTTCTGTCTGAGCGTGTTTGCTCTAATTGGTCTGCAGCTGTTCATGGGCAACCTGCGGAATAAATGCTTACAATGGCCCCCAAGCGATTCTGCTTTTGAAACCAACACCACCTCTTTCTTTAATGGCACAATGAATTCAAATGGGACATTTGTTAATGTAACAATGAGCACATTTAACTGGAAGGATTACATTGACGATGACAGTAAGAAATATTGCTCCATTGTTAATCTTAGTGTTGCTGAATGAGTTTTCAACTATAAATAGTTGAGGCTGTGGGCTTGAAGCCATCTTTGTAAATTACTTTTTTGGTGACCACTTTGGAAATAACAGATAAACAAATTCTATTTATCCCTAATGTCAACAGGATTGATATGAAATAGTTTATTCTTTATATTAACAGGTCACTTTTATGTTCTGGATGGACAAAATGACCCTTTACTGTGTGGAAATGGATCAGATGCAGGGTAAGGAAAACTTTTTTTTAAGATGTAGAACACTTTGGGAAAAAGAAAAAGCAAATAGGAAGAAAATATACATGGGTAGCCTTGCATGTGTATAATAAAGAGTGGCGCTGCCTACCTAGGAAGTACTTTCTCCATCTTTTGGGATTGGTATTTATTCTAAACTCACAGTCATTAAAATCATCCCTTTGGGTGAAGACCTTTTATCCAGAATTTCACAGATAAGATGTACATGAATATTTCTTTCAAGAATGAAGGTCCAGTGTCTGTCTTATCTGTAAACCCATCAGAGCCAGTTAAGAATTACAGGGAAGGAAACACAAAATGGGCACATTTTGACTGGTATTAGGATGTGTTGATGGGACAGGTTTTGCCCTTGTTGGAAAAGATCCAGGCTGTAACATGGTCATCAGGGTGCAAACCCAGTTGGAAAAATGCTTTGAGAAACTCAGATACTCTTGAAATCGGATGAAACCCTGTATACAAGGGATCCACGTGACAGATGTATGTCAAAGGCATGTTCTGGTCTGCATCTGCATATTTTATAGTTCTTTTCTGTCACATTACACAATAAGAGATGCTGTAATGTCTTAGTCATCCTGCTAGTCTCTCATACTTAACATATTTTGCCAAGAGTACTGCAAATCAATTATGTCAGGGTGCTGTGCTGTGCTTAGTCGCTTGGTCGGGTCTGACTCTTGGTGACCCCATGGACTGTAGCCCACCAGGCTCCTCTGTCCATGGGGATTCTCCAGGCATGAATACTGGAGTGGGTGGCCATGCCCTCCTCCAGGGGATCTTCCCAATCCAAGGATCAAACTGAGGTTTCCCACATTGCAGGTGGATTCTTTACTGAAGTCCATAACTCAGGATGTAGAGTGAAATTTTTTAAAGCCAAGGGATCGCAATAGTGACTCTTAGATCGCAAAACTTACAGAGAACATATTTTGAGTCATCCCAGAAGATTGGAGAAGGAAATGGCAAACCACTCCAGTGTTCTTTCCTGGAGAATCCCAGGGATGGAGCAATATGGTGGGCTGCCATCTATGGAGTCGCACAGAGTTGGACACGACTGAAGTGACTTAGCAGTAGCAGCAGCAGAAGATGGGAAACTGGTGTGGTCATAAAGATCTAAGAGGATTATTAAAACCATATACCAGTAACAGAGATAGAATTTGGGGGAATTTTTTTTTCCTGATAGTTTTCCCAAACTTTGGTAGAAGAGGGTGGAGAACAGGAGCATAAGTTCTATAGTTCACATGCATGAGTATGTGTGCTAAATTGCTTCAGTTGTGTCCAATTCTTTGTGACCAATGGACTGTAACTTGCCAGGCTCCTCTGTTTATGGGATTTTCCAGGCAAGAATACTAGAGTGGGTAGGCATTCCCTTCTCCAACTGTTCATATGTACCTGGGTTTATATATATATATATATATTTGGGTTCAAATCCTAACTCCACCATTTACAAACTCTTGACCTTGGAAAAGAGTGAAGCTCTCTGTATTTAAGTCTATTTATTTCTAAACTGAAGAGTAATATCATCTCTCCCTTCAGGTTGTTATGGGGATCAGTTACTTAATACATATAAAGCACTCAGACTAACACCTGGTCCATCATAAACATTTATTGCACATTAGCTATTGTTTTTATTATTATAGTTAATGTAAAAGCCTAGATAAAATTTTGGATAAGGTTGGTTAATGTATACTTTATCTCTATTAAACCACAGTAATCGCTTCCCTTTATTGAGTGTCTGTATAGGTCAGATAATTTACATGGTAAAATTGATGGTCACTCTATTGTTAAACATCAAATAAAATTCTAAAGAAATCTACTCCATTTTAAGACTCCCTATAAGGCTATAGTAATGAAGACAATATGGTATTGGGAAATACTAGATATAGATCAATGAAAGAGAACAGAGATTCAAAAAAACAGACTACAAAGACGTAGTCAACTAATTTTTGACAAAGAAAATGCAATTCAATACAGACAGGGAAGTGCTTTCAAGAAAGAATGCTAAAAGAATTGGGAGACTCATGTGGAATGAACTTAGATACAGCTTTATACCATACACAAAAAGTAACTTAAAACCAATCATAAACCTAAATGTAAAACACAGAAAACTATAAAAATTCTTTAAGAAGACATAGGATAAAAGCTACATGACTTCAGATTTTGTGATGAGCTTTGAAATATAACGCCCACAGCAAATACCTGAAAGAAATAATTTATAAGTTGGATTTAAAAGCTTCTGCTCTGCAAACACACTGTAAAAGGAAGTGAAAAGACAAGACACAGAGTAGGGAAAATATTTGCAAAATACAAATCTGATAAATGATGTGTACCCCCAATACACAGAGCACCCTTAAAATAAAAAAAAAACCCAATTTTAAAATGGGCAAACTGAACAGACATCTACAAAAGAATATACACAGATGGCTAATATGGATATATATAAGGATGCTCAACATCATCACTTGTCGTTAGGGAGTTGAAAGGTAAAACAATAATGAGTTACTATTATATATCCATTAGAATGACTAAAATTACAACAACAACAAAAAATCTGACAATATCAACTGCTGGTGAAGATGCAAAACAACAGGAATTCTTATTCATTCACTGCTGGCTAGAATGCAAAAGAGTACAGTCACTTAAAAGACAATTTGGCAGTTTCTTACAAAATAAACACAGTCTTACCATATAACTCAGTAATTACTCCACTAATTATTTAGCTAACTAATTTGAAAATTTATATCCACACAAAAGCCTGATGTAAATATCTGTTTATACCATCTATATTCACAATCACAAGAAACCAGAAGCAATCAAGTTGTCCCTAAAGAGCTGAAAAGCTGAAGAGATAAACAAACTGTGGTATATTCATACAATGACATATCATTGAGTAATAAAAAGAAATAAGCTATCAAGCCATAAAAATATTGATGAACCTTAAATGCATCTTAATAAGTAAAAAAAAGGCAATCTGAAAAAGCTACATTCTATATAATTCCAATTGCATGATATTCTGGAAAAGATACATAATAGAGATAATAAAAAGATTAATGTTTTCTATGGGTTCAGGGTAGGGGCTTGACTGGGTGATGTATAGGGGATTTTTTAGGGTGGCGAAATTATTCTGTATGATTCTGAAATGGTAAATATTAAGTATTTGTCAAATTTACAAAACTTTACAGCACAAAGACTTAACACTATATGCAAAATTTTTTTAATCGTGTGAGGACAAGAGATCTCAAGTTGAAACACAGAATGTGACAAAGTATCTAAATACATTTAAATAATAAACTGAAGGAAGAGAATAGGTACTAATCTAAGTAACTTTGGAAATGAATGGAGCCTATAAAACTAAAGGCAAAAGGAACTATATTCTTTATCAAGAGCTATACTCTTCTTGATAAAGCTGTTTCCCATCACAGTATGGATTAACAATCCAGAAACAATTATGCATGTACACTGGCACTGAATAATTAAGTATATAGATAGTAGATGACAGAACTCAGGTTTCTCACTTTCGGAGTGAGGGGTTACAGATAAGAAAAGGGAGGAGTCTGGAATGATCCAGAAATAATGAAATAAAGTTGGAGAAATGACTATGACCTCATGTTTAGCTTAACCTAGGCACAGGTGGCTATTTGTATAGTATTAGAAACCAAGTTCTGGGTGCCATGTTTATTGCCAAGGCAGTGTCATTGCTTCTGGGCCCTCAGTTGGCAGGGCGAGGAGACAAATGTGTATACACAAACACAGACACACATTTACCATGATTTACCACTCTTCAATAAAAGAGCAAAGGCTCCTTGGAGAAATGGTTGATTCTAGGACTGGGGCAGGAAATATAAAAGATGAGCCTGAACCATATCATAGTGCCAGAATGTAAGAAAGTATGGAAAAACAAACAAAAACAAAATACATACCACCATGGGTTATGGCAAAGAGATACAGGAGTCACCTGAAAATCTCCCAATGGCCAAAACTGGAACAATGTAAGCAAAACTGTACAATGATATTATACGTATAATTGCATTATAATTCAATGTGTAAAATGAATATCCATGAGTAGATACTCATAAAACAGACTGAATAATAGATAAATAAATGAGATAATAGATAAATCTCATGTAGAATTCCAAATAAATTTCTGCACATAACTCTCCTCTTAAGAAGGTAGATCATAACTCCCTGCTCCGTATGTGTAGGCAACACATAATGACTATTTTAAAGAGAACAGGATAGAAAAAGGGAAAAAAGAGTAAACTTACAATGGAGAAACTGGACAAACACTATCTCAAGTCAGGTGATGAAAGTTATTATCAACAGTGATGTCATATTGATAGCATGTACCCTTGATATGATGTAAGGATAATGATACTTTACACCTGTGGTCTTCCTCCCCAAAAATCCATAACCTCAATATCTATCATGAGAAAAACATCAGACAAATCCCAATTGAAGGAAATTCTTCAAAATACCTGACCAGTATTCCTCAAAAATGTCAAGCTAAACAAAAACAAGGGCAAATCTGATAAGCTGTCACAGCCAAGAGGAGCCTTAGAGCGACATGTTGACTAAACGAAATGTGGCCTCCTGGGTGGGATCCTGGAATGTAAAAAGGATATTAAGGAAAAACTGAGAAAATAAGAATGAATGATGGACTTTGGTTAATAATAATGTATTAATATTGATTAAAACATACCAACGTAAGATGTTAGTAATACCAGAAACCAGGCATAGGACATATGGGAAGTTTCTGTACTCTGTAATTTTTCTGCACATCTAAAATTATTCAAAGTGGCTAAGGAAGTAACTCATTAAGTAGTTCCCTACCTTTTGGCTGTTTTCTGTGTTTTCATTTTTAATCATTGATTGCCGCCACTTTGAAAAGAGAGGTGTCAGAGGCAAAAATGTGTGATTTCTGTTCTGCCATGCTAAATGTCTATAAATAGGACTCCTGTGCACATAAGTTTTCTATTGGTTTTCCTAATAAATTTCATCTGATAACAGTTTCACTGAGATCAATTACCTAAAGTGTTATGTATATGAAAGCAAGAAAATTCATCACAGACAGCAACTCTGGGTTTTGACAATTCCTATAAATCAATACGGATTCAAATAGCTATAACTGCTCTGCTGAGCCCAGCTCCACTCCTCTCTTGCAGCCAATGTCCAGAAGGATACATCTGTGTGAAGGCTGGTCGAAACCCCAACTATGGCTACACAAGCTTTGACACTTTTAGCTGGGCTTTCTTGTCTCTATTTCGACTCATGACTCAAGACTACTGGGAGAACCTTTATCAACTGGTAAATGTCTTTGTCCTTTTGGGTTGTAATAACAAAATGCCATAACAGAAATATATTTCTCACAGTTATGGAGGCTGGGGAGTCTTGCATTCTGGCAAGAGCCCTCTTTCTGGCTCATAAGCTGACACCTTTTTGCTGTGTCATCACCTGGAGGAAGGGACTAGGGATCTCTCTGGAGGCTCTTTCTATTAGGCACTAATCCCATTCATGAGGGTCCCACTCTCATGACCTAAGCACCTCTCAGAGGCCATACCTCCTAATACCATCACATTGTGCATTAGGATTTTAACACATGATTTGGTAGGACACTCACATCCAGAGCACAGCAGTAAGGTTCAAAATAACATGCATAGAATTTAAATTTATGAGCATATATGAAATCACAAGTATAGGCATTTGTCTATAATACTCTAAAATACTGAGAAGGGTCCATCATAAAGTGAGTGTGCCTAGGATCCCAACTGTTCATTCAGTCAGTACACATATTTTGAGATTCTTTGTTGAGAAGCATTCTGCTAGGGGCTATGGAGGATGCAGAGAATGTTCATGACTTGAGCTTATAATATAGTTGTGGATGTAACAAGAACATGTAAAAAGATTTTAAAATTCAATTATATAAAAATTTCAAATTCAACTTAAGGTTAATTGGCACTAGGAGGCAAGAAAGATGTTATCTCTAGATGATGTGGAAAGACAGTGTGGACTGAGTAGTAACTCCACTGAAAGGAATTAAAAGTGTTCTTACTTGTAATATTTCCCTGCATTATAGACTCTAAGAAAAAGCATTTTAGTAGTCCTCAAATGTATATCCAATATGTACAAATTTAAAATGTGTATGCTTACATCAAATGACACTACAACCAACTCTCAAATAATTTTACTTGTGTGTATGTGTGCATTTTAAAATAAAAAATAATCTTGGTCAAATACATTGAATGCTAATAAGCATTCGTCTTCTGACTATCTAATGTTAGTAAGCAGATCTTTATTTGGGGACATTTTATAAAATATTGTTGAGATTGGTCTTTTTCTTCCCCCTAGACATTACGTGCTGCTGGAAAAACATACATGATATTTTTTGTGCTGGTGATTTTCTTGGGCTCGTTTTATCTGGTGAATTTGATCCTGGCTGTGGTGGCCATGGCCTATGAAGAACAGAATCAGGCAACACTGGAAGAGGCTGAACAGAAAGAAGCTGAATTTCAGCAGATGCTTGAACAGATTAAAAAGCAACAGGAAGAAGCTCAGGTACTAAGTGATAATAAGCAGAGCTGCTTTATTATTATTATCATCATTGTTATTGTTATTTAGTTTAAAGTGGGCATATTGTACCACCGAGGTAAAATTGGTACTGGCTTTTCACATGGCACACCAGCATTGTCATTAGAAAAGAGAAAGCTATTAAAACCTGAAATTGTTTCCTAAGTTAGAGTCAAAGTAACTTTTTAGATACTATATATGAGGAAACTGAGGGCTTCCCTTATAGCTCAGTTGGGAAAGAATCTGCCTGCAACGCAGGAGACCGCAGTTCTATCCCTGGGTCGGGAAGATCTGCTAGAGAAGGGATAGTATTTTTGGGTTTCCCTTGTGTTCAGCTGGTAAAGAATCCACCTGCAATGTGGAAGACCTGAGCTCAATTCCTGGGTCGGAAAGATCCCTTGGAGAAGGGAAAGGCTACCCACTCCAGTATCCTGGCCTGGAGAATTCCATGGACTGTAGATGGGGTCACAAAGAGTCAGACAGAACTGAGTGACTTTCACGTTCACTTCCATGAGGAAATTAGCTCAGGATAGAAAACATATTCAGGATGAGGTTAACTATGCAATTATCTTATGAAATCTCAGGGAAGGACTTTATTTTCAGTTTAATACAAAAAAAGATACACAACTGGTATTTCCAAATATTCCTATTTCACCCCTAATTACACTTGAAGTTTTATTCTGTATTGATTGATCTCAAATTTTGCACTCAACACTTCATGTCTACCTACGCTTAATCATTCTTCAGGATTTCTATTGCACAATAGGGTATCAGGATATTTGGAAGACATCTGCTATTAGAGGCCGACTTTAAATTTTCGTTAATATTAAAGGCTGTTTGGGCTAGGGGCATAGAGAATGGGGCATTCATGTCTTGAAGAAAAAAGAGAGAAGAACAATATTTGATTACAAGAAAAAACATAAATTGAAAGATGAAAGTCATGGAAAAACAAAATTCATGTCAGTGAGAATTATATCCTTTACATCTTCACCAACTTTGTTATGGTCAGTCTTATTGACCATTCTCTGTGTGTGTTAGTTGCTCAGTCATGTCAGACTCTTTGCAACCCACAGACTGAAGCCTGCTAGGCTCCTCTGTCCATGGAATTCTCCAGGCAAGAATACTGGAGGGGGTTGCCATTCTCTTCTTCAAGGGATCTTTCTGACCCAGGGATCAAATCAGGTCTCCTGCACTACAGGCAGATTCTTTACTATCTGAGCTACTTGGGAAGCCAGGTGACCATTCTACTAAGCAGTATTTCATTTCTGTCTTATTTTGCATTTTCTTAACAATTAGTGAAGCTGAGCATCTTTCCATGTTCTTATTTTCTATCTGTATGGATTCTTTTGTAAAGTGGATATTCAAAACTACCTTCCCCATATTTTTAGCTAGGTTGTTTTCTTAATGTTGAGATTGAATAATTTTTATGTATAAAAAAAAATAAGTCCTTCATGTAACTATTCCTTGCATATATTTCCTCCCAATCTTTAATTTGTCTTTCATCCTCCTAACTGTACTTTTTAGGCAAAAGTTTTAAATTTTGATGAAGTGCAGTTTATCAAGTTTTTTTTTTTTTTCTGTTTCTTTGATCATGCTTTTGGTGTAGCATCTAAGATATTTTTGCCAAGTCTTCATTACAAATATTTTCTCCTAATTTTTCTTCTGCAAGTTTTATGTTTTATATTTAGGTCAAAGACCCATTTTAAGCTAATTTTTCTGTAAGGTGGTGTGATTTATGAGCTGAGCCTTTTTAAAAATTTCTTGTTGTTGTGTTAGTTGCTCACTCATAGCTGACTCTTTGTGACCCCATGAACTGTAGCCCACCATGCTCCTCTGTCAATGTAATTCTTCAGGCAACAGTATTGGAGTGGATAGTTAGTCCAATCTCCAGGGGTTCTTCCCAAGCCAGGGATTGAACCCAGGTCTCCTGCACTGCAGATTCTTTACCATCTGAGCCACCAGGGAAGCCCTTTTTTTGCATATGAATATCTAATTATTCCAGCATCACTCATTGAACAAAATATTTTTTCTCCACTAAACAGCCTTTGAAACTTTGGCTAAATCAATTGTCCATACATGAGTAAATCTATTTCTGGATTCTATTTTATTCAATTGATTTATTTCTCTTTACACCAAAACCACACTCTTTTAATCACTGTAGCTATTGAGTGAGTTTTGAAATCAGATACTGGTAACTCCCCAACTTTATTTTTCTCTCTCAAGAGTGTATTGACTATCCTTAGTCAAATATATTTTTAAAATGTGTAGCTGCATATGAGTTTTAGAATTAGCTTGTTAATTTCAGTTCACATAGTTTCTGTTATGTCTTCAAGTTTATCATCTTTTCTTCTGCATCATCAGATTTGTCTTTGTCCCACCCAGGGTATTTTCATCTCAGACATTATAGCTTTCATCTTGAAAAGCTTGATCGGAATTTCTTTTACTTCTCCCACATAGGTAACATACTGAACACACACAATACAGTTATAATAATTGTTTATAGAGTCCTAAAGTCCTTGTCTGCTAATTCTAACATCTGTGTCAGATCTTGTTCAATTTTAATCATTTCTGTTCATTATTGATTATATATTCCTGATTTTTTTACATTTATGGCAAACTTTGATTAAATTCCGGACACTTGAAACTTGATCTTTTGGGGTTCTGGATATTTTTATATTCCTATAAAAATTTTTGATCTCAGTTTGGGAACATAGTTAAATTACTAATAAACAGTTTGATCCTTTTCCATCTTCAAATCTTTGAAGATGTGTTAGGTATAACTTAGAACTTAGTCTAAGGCTAATTATTCCCTACTGCTATGTGAAAGAAGGCAATGGCAACCCACTCCAGTACTCTTGCCTGGAAACTCCCATGGGCAGAGGAGCTCGGTAGGCTGCAGTCCATGGGGTCGAGAAGAGTCAGACAGGACTGAGCGACTTCACTTTCACTTTTCACTTTCATGCATTGGAGAAGGAAATGGTAACCCACTCCAGTGTTCTTGCCTGGAGAATCCCAGGGACGGCGGAGCCTGGTGGGCTGCCGTCTAAGGGGTCGCACAGTGTCAGACACGACTGAAGCGACTTAGCAGCAGCAGCAGCAGCTATGTGAAAACCCTTCTGAAAACTCAACTCAATGCCCCCATTCATAATTTCTTCAAAACCATTGTTACATGTATCTAGGCTGCTTAGTGGTTGTTTTAGGAGGAAGGGTGAATCAGATCTGTTACTATATCTCAATCAGAAGCAGAAATCCAAATAATTTTTGTGCATAGTGATTTTTTTAAATGGATGTTCACGAACATTAGAGGCATTATTTGAATGTCAGAATATCCTTGCAATTTGTGTGTTGAAATTTAAATTTTTAATAATTCTGAGTCACTCTGAAGATGCACAACATACAGCAATAGGTACTTTTTACTGAGGCTTTTTTTTTTTTTTGGTGAGATGGATTTGACAATGAATTGCTTATCTGGTTACTCAGACCAACCATATACTTAATAGTTGCTGAACATGCTGACTCTATTTTTCTGTTAATACTGGGTACAGAGTAGTATCATGGTTACAGTTTATTGATCTATAAAAAAAGTAATAAATTTGGTGATAACTTGAGTGTAACTTATAAAGTATACCTCATGCTTGCCAGGAATTTCTCCTATATTTCAAGTATTCAAGAGTTTATTCCAGATTGTTACAAATAAAACACATTTGTAAGATGATGAAATGATAGCTATTTACAGGGCAAAGAATTTTTTCATTTCAAAGCTAAAAATAAAAGTTATAGGAAATAATATATATGTGTATACACATATAGACAGATACTACATACTAGTTGTATTTTAAAGCATTGGGTTATTCTATCGTTATTTACAAAAACAGACAAAGCAATGTACATGAGAATAAACCGACCTACAGTATAGGAGTAGGAATGTCTTCTGAAATGCAGCCATTTTAGGGTAAAATATTACATCAGTTGAAAGAGTATAATCTTTAAAATTTAGCAGTAAAAGTACACTATTGTCTAGCAGAATTTTAAAGAATCTAATTATCTATACCCTAATTAGGTTAGTCAAAATGTCAGTTCTTTTCACTTGAAAGTCAGTTATTGGGAGTCCAGAGAGAAAATCATGATTTGATTCAGCTTTAAGTTCATATACACAAAAGTTTAAACTGATTTCAGGGTAACCTATCCCAGTGGTTTAATATTGACGGGGATGGCACGAGTGCTAAGGTAATTTTACTTCCTTATTGACAATGCAGGTAACAGTGACCAGTAAATAGCCCGTGCTGACGGAGAGGTGGGAGGTGGGGACAGAAAGAGAGGGAGATAGTACACCCATGAGATCACTGGGGCTCCAGTGTAATATGAGTCTGGTCATCATCTGTGACTCTTCAAAAGCTGCTATCTAATGACTTCATGAAGTCTAGCATCATTTCCATTTTTACTTAATATATATTCAAAGACCTCTAAGTGCTAGTCACTGTTTAAACATGAAAAAAAGTCATATTCAGCTCACAAACCAAGTAGAACTGTATTTTTTTTTTTACCAAGTACAACTTTAAAAGACAAAGACAAACTGACAAAGAAAGAAATGTTTTGTCCTATGTCATCATAATTGTGTTTGGCATTTAATCTGTGATCTTTAAATGTCTAAGTGCTCAGCGTAGCATATTCCACAGCAGTATATATGGGCCTGATAGGAAAAATTTAGCAGTAAACTTTGGGACAAAATTAGAAATAGTGACATTTAAGAGACCCAATATAATTTGGGGTAGAATTGTAATAAGTATAGTTAATGTCTTGAGGTTTTAAAATGAGATTTTAAAACTGGATCTTTTGATTACACTGAAGTATAATCACAGATACATTTTTTATTTTATATTTTAAGGACACACAGATACAGTAAATTATAGAGCCTCTTTTGTTTCACACAGAGATAAGAAAAACAAAATGTTATTCCCTGTGGAACTATTAAGCACATATTTGTTATCTGTTACAATAAGAATTCAGCAAACCCACGGTGAAAGTAACACTATTAGCCTAAGTAAGCAGGACGTTGGCCATGTCACAGAGCCGCGTATAAACAGGTACACAGACATGGGAGGTGACAGGAAACATCTGCCTCTGAGGGAACTGGCAAATCCCTGGAAGTGGAATAAGTGACAGATTCGAGTTGACGAGTGACAGAGAAAATGTGTTGTGTCGGGAGGTTACTGTTGTTGCCTTACAAAAATCTGTTTTGGTTTTGAGTTATTCCAACTGTTTACCCAGTCTAGGTAGGGAAATCATGTCTTATGCAAAACAAATTCTGGAAGTGATTTAAATGAACCTGAGTTTCAGACTTATGTCAAAAGACTATTACCACCATTTCCACTTCCTTTTTTCCTGACAACAAACAAGTGAATAAATGATTTGACACTATGCATTGTATGTTTTTCTCTATACAAAGTGGAAAGGAAAATTAAGGACTTTATTTGGATAAAAAGAAACATGCATACATTCATTCTCTCAAGGAATGCTGTATATTATGTCTCTCCTATGTATCAAGCACTATGCAACTATATTTAACTTGCTCAAATTAGTCCTTCATTTATCCACTTTATTTTATACTTTTATATTAAATTAATTCATATTTATAAAGGGCCCTTAATATTTATCATCTTTCATTACTGATACTAAAAGTGATAACCATGATCAAGAATTTAATTGGGACTTCCATGGTGGTTGAATGTTTAAGACTCAAAGATTCCACTGCAGAGGGCACGAATTTGACTGATCCTTGGTCAGGGAACTAAAAACTGCATACCACATGGCTCAGCGGGAAAAAAAGAAAAATTCAATCTAAAAAAATCTGGATATCTGATTCTATTTATTCTATAAATATATAAATTCTGAATTAATGTTTCATTTAAATGTTAGGATTGTATTTTATCAAGCTTTTGATCTGGGTTTCTATAATGAATATAGCAATCAATATAAACATTTTACATGTTCCTTGGCCCAACACATATATTTAGTACTATATGTAATACTGTGGTTCCCTGGGGTCATGTTAATCCCATGGAATGTGTATCATAGTACCTTTAGTTTTAAACCTTTTAAAAACTTTTTAGCTGAGATGAGGTTCAGAAATGGGAGCTACTTAGAAAGGGTCTGCTTCTCAAGAAGGAGGAAACAAAGGAGAAAATGTCGTCAAAGCATTCAATATGAGTTTTATATTCTTTTCTAAAATATATTTCTATTATATAGTCTATTCTAAAACCTAGCTTTTATGAGATCTTGAAAAGTCAAGTCTGTCTTATTCTTCCCATACCCCCATTCAGGATCTGAGACAACTGACAGTATAATGCCTTTTTTTACCCTTATTCACCAAACATTTACTGGGTCTTTTTTATGTCAAGTGACATAATAGACATGTGCACACAGACAGACAGACACAAACACACATACACACACACACAAATGACAGAATTCCTATCTATAGGAATAGACAAGAATATGTCTAGTGGCGAAGAGGCGAAGATAGAACAAATAGTAGCTGTTTTAGAGTTGTTTGTATTCAGTAATGACATATGTAAAGAGTTGAACCAGTAGTCTAATATTTTAATCATTTCCATTTTGATGATTATGTTTATCAACAGGAATATACTTAATGAGAATTCAGCTTGAAATTCATATCCTCTCTGGTTAGTGGTTAGATCATTTCCCATCTAAAAATACCATTCACATAAATAAAAATACAAAGGATTTGGCATGCCATGTTTCACCTCAAAGTGGCTGTCTTTCTTTAGTAGGTGCAGAAATTTAAAATGCTTAAGTAGTGCTTGCTTCAGCAGAACATACACTAAAATGCTTAAGTATACTCAGTGTTGAAATATGGAAAGAAAATATTTGAAGTAGTCATAATCCTTTGAATGATTATTTCAGGTATTTATTGACTGATATGTTAATCTTTCATTATTATTTGTAATAATAATAATAAATAAACATTTAAAATTTTTAAGCTAAAAGTGCTATGCAATAAATTTATCATGTAGACACTGGGATTAATATGACCTCAGGGGTGGGAGGGCTTGCCATGTGGCTCAGTGGTAAAGGATCTGCCTGCCAATAAAGGAGACGCAGGTTCAATCTTTTGGTCAGGAAGATCCCCTGGAGGAGGAAATGGCAACCCACTCCAGTATTCTTGCCTGAAAAATCCCATGGACAAAGAAGCCTGGCGGGCTACAGTCCATGGGGTCACAAAGAGCTGGACAGGACTGAGCAGATGAGTATGCACAAACTCAGAAATGCGAATAATAGTACTGAATGTGATTCAAATGAAGAAAGAGGATAAATTAGTCAATACATTCCCACTACTTCCCCCTAGAGGTAAAAAGTAGACACTTTAAATGCTTTGAGTTCACAAAAAAAGAAGTCTTTTGTCCTAGATTTAGACGAAAAAAATACCACTCAGTTGTTCACAATCACAAGTGGGAGGAACAAACCTATGGATGGAATTGGAATAGTAATCAGACCAGACACCACCACTAAGAGAACATTTGCTTTTAAAGTGTAGAAGATATTTTTAAGAGAGCAGTTGTTCCCTGAAATGAAGCTAATCTCAACAGAGTTTTTAAAAAAAGACTTCAGAAGATGTGCAAACCAGAATTTTCTAATTCATAAGCTAACATATTGCTTTATACTATGTAAAAATGTATCATTATTAAGTAAACTCTCTTGTAGTAAAACATAAAAATGACCAGAAAGACATAAATTTTCAAATATAGTTCATTGTATTAAATGGCAACATATGTACCGTAGTTTTCCAAAGCCGCATGTTCTAAATAGTGCCTGGTTTTATTTACACAGGCAGTTGCAGCGGCATCAGCCGCCTCGAGGGATTTCAGTGGAATAGGTGGGTTAGGAGAGCTCTTGGAAAGTTCATCAGAAGCATCAAAATTAAGCTCCAAAAGTGCTAAGGAGTGGAGGAACCGAAGAAAGAAAAGAAGACAGAGGGAGAATCTTGAAGGAGACAACAAAGGAGAGGGAAACAGGTTTCCCAAGTCTGAATCTGAGGACAGTGTCAAAAGAAGAAGTTTCCTTTTCTCCATGGATGGAAATCGACTAACTAGTGACAAGAAATTCTACTCCCCTCATCAGGTACAGCTTTCTACTAAGGATTCCAGTTTGTTATGTCATTTCTGTATCTTTGTATATTTTTGTAGTACGTGATGTAAATGAGGGACAGGGAACTAACATTTAATATGATTATTTAAATGCATATCATAAATTGTCTTTAAAAGATAGTTTTATTAACTCATTAATAACTTATTTTACAGTAATCAGTTTTAAGCACTATAGTATTTTGAGACCATTTTCTCAATCTGCTTTGTTGGGAGGTAGGAGGAGTGAAACCCATCTAATCAAACTTTTTTCTTCAGTGAGGCAGTTTTGTAATCTCTTGTTTACCTTTTCCATTTTGAGACCTCAAATGAACCTACCTTTTTTGCATATGGTTTTCTGCCTTTAACATCTGAGTATTAGATATTACTAATATCTAATATATTAGATACATTACTGAAAGATATGTATGAATTTTGAAAAGAAATGTCTCTGGATTTCGTTTCTATCTTTTGATGGGAGAACTGGACTGTTGTGATCTTCCATTATGCTGATATGGTGTCATGCCATGATACGTTAGGATGAAATTATGACCCAAATTCTCTCGAAGAGAATTAAATAAAAAACAGTCTATTTTTGCTCTGATTTAATGCGAAGTACCCAATTCGTCAGCATATTTTCAAGTCAAATAGGGTAAATAGTATCGACTCTGTTTATAAGTTTTATCAGTTGCATAATCAAGAGTAAATAGTTATGAAGTCTGTGATAAGTACAGTTATAGCTTTGAACCCTATTTGGTTCCATTAGAATTTCATGTGCTATGGATTATTAACTCTTCTAATTATTTTAACCTGGGTCAGCCAACCAACAAATATTTATTGCTCACCTACTATGGTTCACAAGAGGAAAGAAACAGTTCTAGAGAAAAAAAAACTCAATGAACAAAACAATGTAATTCACTGACCTCACAGATTTTTATACAGAAGGAGGAGACAGACAATAAACAAGATAAGTAAGTCATAGACTATGTCAGAAAGTGATAAGTACAATTGGAGGGAAAAGGCAAGAAAAGAAAATGAAGAGCACTAACTGGTGGTTAAAAAAAATTAAACAGGATGGTTTGGAAAGCCTTGACTGTAAAGGAGAACTTGCAGCAAAGATTTTGAGGAGGCAAGAGAACAGGCTATCTACGGAAGTGCACTTTGGGCTCAGTGAAGAGCAAGTGGAAGGCCCTGATGTGGTAATATGCCCAGAATGTTCAAGAAGCAGCTAAGAAGCCCCTGTTGAGTGAACCAAGAGAAGCAACAGCAATAGGAAGTTAACTGAAAGTCAAGAGTTTAAATACTAAAAACAGAATTAGTATATACATACATTATATGTAGTTCATTTCATATTTGGAGATAGTGAGACAGATAGTTAAGGAGATAGGAAGAGAGAGAGATGGTAGGATGATAGGCAGGTAGACTGATAGATAAATAGATAAAATAGACAATAGATGTTGCAAAGTAAAAGAAATAGCCTATTAGCATTGATAGTTACATACCCCAGTACAAATATGCAGAAATCATTAATGCAATCACAGGCAAAAATAAACCAGAAGCATTTTACAGTTTCTGGTTGTGTAAACAAACTCTCTAAAAGGAAAGAGAATCAGTGGAGATAGTGGGAATAGGAAGCATAAAGTGGACATGGAATAATGTTCAAAACAAGTATATCTTTAAAATCATTAAGGCCAAAGTCATAAATTATGAGTACCCTGTCCTCTACTAACACAAATTTTAGATGATAGTTTACATTTATTATATTATTTTATTCTTAAATACATAGTACATGTTCATAGTACAACATGAAAAAGTACTTAAAGGCAAACAATGGAAAGTGAATCCTCCTGCCAAGATTTTATCTATGTTGTTTGAACGCAAGGAAGCAATTTATTTTAAAACAGAAGCTTCATAGCTAGAACCAAGTGCAGTTGTTGACTTACTGAAAACATTGATAAGCTACATATATTTAACTTGAAATGCCATGCTTCTATTAGAACATCTTCAAATTCTCTGTGTCTTCAATTCTGACTTCCCAATTCATTTCAAGTTCAGTTCTTGCATGCAGAATTGTGTCCTTACATCTAAATGCTTCAATTTTCCCTTTTGCTATTGAAAATTAAGAAAAAGAATCCAGATTTACCTTCTTGGAACAAGACCAAAAAAAGATACCCAGAATTCATATTTTGGCATGCCTGAGGCAAAGAAAGATGGCCTTTTGGTCTGTAATGCATAACAGCTTCTTTTCCCTAGAGAAAGGGCTGCCACAGCTGTGGGTATTCCCTGCATTCCGCTGCATCTTCTAGTGTGTTATTTTTGGTTTATTTTCTCTGAATACTATTTTTGCTATCCTCTTTTTTCAGTCTCTGTTGTCTTGAAAGCTGTGCTCACACCCATTATTATACTTTCCAAAGAGTGAACAGAAATTTCAAATAAACCCAAGGATTTGAAATGCCTCTGAAAACATGTCAACATAAAAACATTCAAACTAAAGGCGTGTACCAGATATATTTTAGATGTACACACATACCACACACTCCCACCCAGTATTGTGTAGACAGACTTTAAGTTTCCAAAGACATTATTCTAACACAAGTATGTGAAAATGATTGAATTGAACCATCTTAGGAAGTAGTGTAAGACAAAGCTGGTAACAGGGCTTCCATGGTGGCTCAATGGTAAAGAACCTGCCTGCCATGCGGAAGACCTGGGTTCAATCCCTGAACTGGGAAGATTCCCTAGAGAAGGAAATGGCAACCCACTCCAGTATTCTTGCCTGGAGAAACCCATGGCCAGAGAAGCCTGGTGGGCTACAGTCCATGGGGTCACAAAGAGTCGGAAAGGACTGAGCGACTAACACTTTCACTTTCTTTTCAAAGCTGGCATTCCTCTGAGTGCAGGGTGAGGTCCACCGCCATTAGAATCACCTAGAATGTATGTTTGAATTCTCAGATCCCCAGCTATGGGGTTTCCCTCATAGCTCAGTTGGTAAAGAAGAGACCCAGGTTCAATTCCTGGGTTGGGAAGATCCCTGGAGAAGCAAATGGCAACCCACTCCAGCATTCTTGCCTGGAGAAGCCCATGGACAGAGGAGACTGGCAGGCTATGGTCCATGGGATCACAAGAATCAGACATCACCACCACCACCACAGTGTCCTACCCCTGCTTACTGAATCCCAATTCCAAAAAGCTGGGACCTAAAAATACACACCAAGGTTTCAAAACATGAGTGTGGACATAAAAATATTATTTTGATAAATTTAAATTGAATGTAAGGAGATTAAAAACATCATCATTCCTTATTATTGAGGGCTGAATGAATGTCTTCACAATGTCTAATTTCTCGATCACTTTGATGACTGGAAAATCAGTCTAGCTATTGTCTGACATTGGGTAGATAAACCTGCTATATGAACTGAGTGTCACACAGACACAGTCTCAGCCTGGATAAGCTGAGCAGTCATTAACTCCTGTGAATATTTCTAACCAAATCCAAAGGAACAGCACATTTCTCAATGAATAGTATCTTTCCAGAATATCACTGAGACAGAGGGCAAAAAAAATTGTTCTAGTGCTTTGCAGTCAGGGAAAAGTCATAAAATAAAGGGCATAATAAAATGGGTCATAATAAAATCAGCATGACCTAATTAGGCAGAGGGACCAAAACTAAATTTGAGGGAGTTTGCCTTCCTTATGGTTTTTTCTGCTAAAATTATTATTTTTGGTTTTACATTGAAGCTTCGTGGAAGAAAGGAAAGGTCTAGGTGTATTTCCAGCAACATGTGGATATGTATGCATATGTATGTCTATGTATCTACATATGTTACCCAGCTATACAGAGACTTAGAACAGGTCATGAGAGGTCGCTGGGGCAGGGGAGGGGACAGAATATGGAAAATGCCATTGTCAGTGAAGAAGGGAGTAAATGAAGATTCTGCAGGAGACTAGAGATGTTTTTGAAAACTATCATCAAGGCTAAAACAAGCAAAGAGTTATTTGGTGCTACCGATTTAAAAGCCATTCAAAAAATGAAAGAAGGGACTTCATGCTAAATTCTCATTTTCCAGTATCAGAAACTGTCTACTTGATTTATTCATAAATATATGTAAGTTTTAAACTTTTTAATCATCCAGCTCTTTTTAATAAAATTAAGTTGATATTAGAAGGATAAGCTGTCCTCTACATCACCCTTATCGGTGAAGACATGTATAAGTATTTTTAAAACTAGTGTTAAATTTTAAGTAAGAATAGTAATTTATACAGCAATCTAGGAATTCTCTCTGTTATGTTTGCTATGGCATATATTCTGTCAAACAAGGTGAATCATTAGTAGCCATTTGGAAAACTTAGCAAATTTAGAAGACAGCATCATAGATAAATTTTGTGGCTTTTATGCTCATGTGCAAAAGACAAGAAGGTCCAGAAAATAACAGTAATTTCCTTTTAGAACTCAAAAAAAGAGAATGGAGAGATAATGCCTTTGTTTTTAAATCATTATCCAGAAGTAACATAGTTGGTCCAAACATTTTAAATTCAAGCCAACAGTCTCACTTGAACTGTAACTTATTTTCCAAGTTGTATGCCCTTTCAGATTATAGCATTTAGGAGTGAAAACCACCTATCAAAAAGAATCATTGGTCCTTTCCAGCATCAGGTTCCCCACCTAGAACATTACAATAACAAAATCCACCTCACAGGACTACAGTGAAGATTAAATGAAGTGGTCATGCGCTTAGTAAACTGCATATTAGAACTCCTAATCAGAAAAATTACTTAAATTTGTATTGTGGTCTTTAATAAAAATATCAAAACATATGTGTTCTCTATAAATTTGATAAACCGTGTTTAAGAGCAAGACTATTCTTACCCAAAAGCAAATAGATTTTGCAATATTAAGACTTTCATTAAATAGTTGTGTCCCCTGTCCCCATTCTTTCCTTCCTTGCTCTCTCCCCAGTCTCTGTTAAGTATCCGTGGTTCCCTGTTTTCCCCACGACGCAATAGCAAAACAAGTATTTTCAGCTTCAGAGGTCGGGCAAAGGATATCGGTTCTGAAAATGACTTTGCTGACGATGAACACAGTACATTTGAAGACAGCGAGAGCAGGAGAGACTCACTGTTTGTGCCGCACAGACACGGAGAGCGACGCAACAGTAACGTTAGTCAGGCCAGTATGTCATCCAGGATGGTGCCAGGGCTTCCGGCCAATGGGAAGATGCACAGCACTGTGGATTGCAATGGTGTGGTTTCCTTGGTGGGTGGACCATCGGCTCTAAGCTCACCTACTGGACATCCGCCAGAGGTGATAACAGATAATAAATCAGCTACTACTGACATTATACACCAATTGGAAATGATCAAGGCCGGGGTGGTTTAGCCTGTCATACTATCCTACTTCCCCAAAATGAAAGTCCTTAAAAATAACATATGATTTTACTGAATGAAAAAGACAATAGAATTTTGAGAACCAACTGAACTGTATGGGACCATGAACTGTCAAATGCTTTAGGTTGAAAGAGCCTGGTTTTTAGAGTTTGGGGTGAAAACTCCTATGTGCAAATTCAACACAGAATAATGGGCACTGTGACAACCTGTTACAGATGTCTGTTCACCCAGAATTGTATAATAATCTATTCATATTCTGGAAATTTCATATACCTGGAATTAAATAATTTAATGACCGACATATTGATAACAGGCAGTTTCGGTACAACTGCCAATATTTTACAGTGATTCTAAAATGTTCTGGTGTCTATTAAATGACTTTAAAATGTTTTGATTTCTTATAGGATGGCACATGGAAATAATTTTTAAAAATCTCAGGAAAGCACACACATTTCATTGTACATCTGTGTTTGTGCATAGAAAAAAATCAGCCCATATATGTCAACATTTTCAATATAGCCTCAAAGAAAATAATTCAGCCTTAATATTAATATTACATAATACTATTATTTGTTTTGGGGGAAGATTAATCTGATTTTTAATCAATGAGAAAGCTAAAATACTTTTCATTTGAATTAAATGAAATAATATATGATTTATGAAAAATCTCTCTGGAAATTCCAACAGGTAAACTAAAATATTTCTGCAACATAATTGCCTTATACAATTGCACCCAACTGGTAAATTCATGTTTTAACCCTGTAGGGTATCACCTGTGATTTTTTTTTAAGTATTTATAACTTAATAATACATTAGTATTTTATTATTGCTTGAAAATTGTTACTTGGGAAAACTGCATGTAGCATGACCTTCCAAAGAAATGCTAATGTTGTGTGGTATTACTCACTGAAAAGGGTGGTCTGAGCCATCAGTATTTGGTTTGCAGGGCACCACCGCTGAAACGGAAGTCAGAAAGAGAAGGCTAAGTTCTTACCAGATTTCAATGGAGATGCTAGAAGATTCCTCCGGAAGGCAAAGGGCCATGAGCATAGCCAGCATCCTGACTAACACAATGGAGGGTAAGAAGGCAGCCATGGGGTAGTCAGCTTTCTATGATTATAGAGTTTGGAGAACTATTACTTATTCCCATGGAATTGCAAAAGTCAATTACCCAAGGTCAGAACTGTATAATAGACCTAAGTAGATAATATATGGAATATACTATTATCACATCGATTACAAAACTAATATGGTCTCTATTTCTTTTTTATTCCAATTCTCATCTGCTGAGTGATTATTTCACCACTTGATAGCTCATCAGAGAGGATTTATCCTTACGTTATATTACCCTTAAGCAATTAGAGCAAAAACTTCTCTTTTTAAGTTTTGTATGCAGAAGCACAAAGAAACATCTGTAAAATTCAGTCTGTTCTCCAGGCACAGAAGTGGTGATGGGTTTAGGAGGCATATGAGATGAGTTGGAGAAATCAAAACCTGTGTTGCATTTCCACAGGACCCTAAGAAAAGACCTTTCCTCCATCTTCCACATACACAGAAACCATTACATTCCTTTGATGAAGATATCTGTTGATTTTGACACACAGGAATGGACAACAAATATTACTTCCTTGTTCATTCATTAAATAAGTCCCCATTTCTTCAAGTTTGGAGGAATATTACATCAGTACTGTAATTTTATAAGTCAATCAGAATTCATATCTAACATAAATTCTTTAGAAAACTTCAGTTATATTTTGTACCTTAGTCTATTGGCATATTGGATATGCAAATGGGCATATATTTCATATATATTTCACCCATTAAATTACTAGTACCCATTAAATTACTAATACCTTTTTAATAGGCTAGAATTCTGAAGAAAAATGAGTAAATATGAATAACAGAACTAGATTTGGGGCTGAATCTATATTAAAAAGAAAAACATACCATATGTCGATGTGTAAAGATCAGTGCTAATGTGGAGACAGAGAGAAGAAAGGGTCACACATATTAATAAGGATCACAGCTTTAGAAAGTATTCTGAAAAAGCTCTTTCAAAAGAAACAGTAATTGATACATTTAATAGTACTCTAAAATTTACTTTAAAATCCTGTTTTGATAAAGAAAATATAGCAATTTAATAACCCATTACCTAATCAATAGGTAATTTATTTAAATTGAGGTAAAATATTGAATTTGAAGTATTTTTTTCTGCTTAAAGACATTTTTCATAAATATTTTGTAAAAATATTTAATGGAATTGTCTTCTCAAGTCTGTTAAACTAATATGAACTTGCATCCCCAAGTAAAAGTGTCAATTTTATCAAATAATGTATAATCTACAACAGTAATTTGTTTATATTGTTGTTTACTATCTCATTCTTTATTGTTCCCCCAGAACTTGAAGAATCTAGGCAGAAATGTCCACCATGCTGGTATAGATTTGCCAATATGTTCTTGATCTGGGACTGCTGTGATGCATGGTTAAAAGTAAAGCATCTTGTGAATTTAATTGTTATGGATCCATTTGTTGATCTTGCCATCACTATTTGCATTGTCTTAAATACCCTCTTCATGGCCATGGAGCACTACCCAATGACTGGTCAATTCAGTAGTGTGTTGACTGTAGGAAACCTGGTGAGTTCATTTGAAGTTTACTTATTTATTTTGTCAGAAATAGGGCAGATAGACCAAAGAAAAAATCCATTTGTGATATGCAGACCCCCTAAACTATACACTCTTTCCTCAAAGGAAGAAATATCTAAAGGAATATTGAAGGGATTCTGAGGGATAAGGTCTAGAATTCAACTGGTATGAATACTGACTGTTGAGACCAACATCTGTGCTGATTGATCATGGTGTTTTACCCTCTGTAAACTTGTTAAAATCTTTACTGTCAATCATACTGGAAAAAAACAGAAATCATTAGGTCTAATTCTGGCTCCATAAGCATGCAGTTTTAACACATACAGCTTATGAAGAAAGAGTTCTTTGAAGGGAATACCTAAAGATTGATTTCTGTGCAAAGGAGGGCATAGTTGTTTCAAATTGAACTACCTAATAAAATGCTTCAGTAGAATTCACACAGAGAAGAAATAGTTGATAAAAATGCATTTGTAATTTAGCCACACTCTGGTTCATGTTACTTGGGTATACAATTGTATATGTGTATGCCGACATTTACATTTCCTCCTTCTACATGAAGAAACTGAAATGGATGAACAAGTAAAAAAAGAATTTACATAGTTTATTAACCAAGACCTTTATTTCCAGCACAAGATAGAAACAGAGTTCAATAGCTTAAGAGGAAAATAAAAAGACTGTCTCATGAAATGGAAAGAAAAAGATGAATTACCAAACCATATGAGGATAATTTTGTAACTGGGCTTCAGGAAATGCTTTAACCAAGGGATTGGATGCAGCCCAACCATTCATTGCATCTTTTGTCTGTAGGTCAGGAAATATGATCACCCATACCTTGTTGGTGCTAAATCTTGTAACCTCTGCAATGGAAAAACACTGAATCTCTTTTTCAGTTCCAGTTTAAAGACTCTCGTGATAGGACTCTGTTTAGCATAGCTTGGATCAGATGCTCATCTCTGGTTTAACCAACATTGGTGAAGGTAGATTCATGTGAAAATTGCAGTTCTGAGGAATTACACAGGTGGAGGATTAATTCCCAACAGAAAGAAGAAAGGGAATACTGGGCAAACAACTATCTAAGTGTCTACTTCAATAAGTGACCTCACCTTCATGTATTATTTGACTCAGTATAACACCCATCAGATTCTTGAGACTTCCTTCATCTTTGACACCTGTGATTTTTTTTTTTTTTTTTGTCTGATTGGCTCCTTCATCTTTCCAATCACTCTATATCTCTGCTTCCTTTTCTGGACTTCTCTACTTTTGCCTATTAAGGCTATGTTTTTCACTCAATATTTGTATGTACTCAACAATTCTAGGTATTATCTACTCTTATAAGTTGTGTTCTATTTCTGTATTTCCAGCAGTTATAGATTGACCCAGGATAACTTTAAACATCTGAAAGATGATCTTTCTCATAGTTTATTGAAAGCCCTAAAAATTTCAAGTTACTTTTATGTTACCTCTAGTAGTAGCCTTTCAGTTTCAAAGAGGCTTCCAGCTTCAAAATAAAAACCTTTTATTTCTTATATACAATTTTATATCAAGACCCATTGTTTCCTTTTTTCTAGGTGTCAATTTTTTTACCTCTATAGCTACCATTAAAATTGTATTTCTAGTACTCTACACTCAGTTTGGCTTTCACCTTGCCAAAGTATCTATTGTCTATATTTGTGGTTCAACAATCTTACCTGGTTTTTAACACTCCCCCTCTAATCCCATCCATCCTTCCTATGCCATCTTCTTTTCCATTGTTTCCTAACCAGTCACCACCAGTCTTCTCAGAACAGCCTTGACACTATAACCCACAAATGTTTATATGTTTATATATGGGAAAGTAGTTCACTGTCCTCAATATTCATATTTAAAGTATCCTGACTCAAATCACTTCATCTCAGTTCTTCATATGCTTTAAGGTCCAACCACAGCTTCATCTCTCCGCTAATATGACTCTCAGTCCATACTGAGCACACTGTTCTTAACTCCTAATTCATTTCTGTGAACAGAACATGGTTGAACATTAAACATTTTCTTGTTGCATCATAATTCTTGTTTTTCAATTCCACTACATATTACCCCACGACAGAGATCACATCCTACTTTTCTTTTGTATCTCTCAAAGAGTGTTTACATGGTTGTAACTTGATAAATAACCAACTGGTTGTTTCCTACCCATAAAAGAACATGGGCTTTGGAATCAGGTAGAACTGGGTTTGACCTTACTAATAATGTAGCATCTGGACAAGTATGATAAAAAATTTTGAGTCTTTGTTTTCTATTATTGAAACGGATATAATAATACTCATCTCCCAGAGTTGTTGTGAAGGTATAATGAGATAATGTGAAAACACAACACTTTGCCTGGCATCTAGCACGTGCTCAATAAACAGCTTCCTTCCTCTTACGTACTCTATTAACCTTTCTTTGAAATACTGATGGAAAACAGTTCTGTTCTAGCTCTGTATTTTTCCCAGGACAGTTAGGGAAGTTGAACTGTTAGGAACAGTTTGGGAAATTTGTCAGAGTGATGCAGGAAATTGAGGTCTTACAAGAATTTTGATGTTGAAGCAATGGAGTGCGGAAGCACAGGATAAGAGATGTTGGATTATAGGATGATCAGACGGAAAAGCACTAGACTAAAACACCAAATTTGGATCCAGGTCCAGTTGTCTGTGCTAAATATCTGATCTTGAAAAAGTCACAAATATTGTTTTCTCATGAGTACAATGTATTGGGACTAGACAATTTTTCAAGTCTCTCCTCATGCTAAAAGCTATCACTTTGAGTATCAGTAGAGATAATGAGGTAGAGAAGTGAGGTGAAAAACTGATCAGTGGTTGACTGTAGCAGAACCATGGGTAAGCTGAGTTTAGTGTTAGGGAAACAAGACTCATGAAGATAGAGAGCACAGGTGACAGGAAACCCTTAACTATTTGTAACCATAAGAACAGGCTAATGTGTGAACTGACTGTTACTGCTGGCTAAAAGCTCATTAATATTCTCTCTTTCTCTCTGTGTGAGAGAGAAATATTGCTTATATTATGGGCACTTAGCTGACTTTAGATCTATGTTATATACCATAGATGGGTGTTGCATTGCATATTTTGTGAAGACTTTATAGGTTTCTTATTAAAGTCAATTTAAAATTTCTCTGGACTAGTTTATTACTATTCAAATGATTCCATACTGCCTTATAAATAAGGAAATTGAGTTTCTGGCTGAATTAATAACAAAAGAATGTGCCATAAAAGGGTTGTGGCACTTTCAGTCTTTACTTAGATAAACGTGCTTTTTTGTATCCTCCTTCTGCTGAAGCATATAAAAATTCTATCATTTCCCTGTTGATTGCACTGATCAAATTTAAGTTTCAAGAGACCTCAAATCTCTATTGAGTTTCTCTAAGATTCTGTTTTGCCTTTGTGTTTCTTTGTTTGTTTGTTTTAATGACTATTAAACACGTGCACTCATTTTACTGATTCTATAAGCAAAAAATCTTCCATCAAACATAGTAGGTTACATAATCCCTTCATCATATAAACATTTCCAACTAACCTGTAAATTTTTCTTCACGGAATATCAATAGAGATCTGTAGCTCCTACTTTATTTGTTTTTCTTACTGCAACTCTTACAACTAGAGATTAAAGATTCATGATATCCCTCTGTTCTGCTAGACCCAGATGGGAACTTAGAAAATGATACCTGTTTTAAGGATTTTATAGGCTATTTTCACATAAAAGCCTAAAGAAACATGATTAGCAAATTATTTTAATTAAATGGTGTGGTTTAGGATATGAATACAAAATCTTAGAAAAGGGACATAATTCTTTGAAGGAAAAAAAATGGCTTTGTTTATTGAAAGATAAAATCATTAGAAGCCAAATTCAAGAACTCACCTATGAAGCCTCTTGCATCAATGAAGAAGTGCTATTTGGCTACCTAATTCCTTTCCTAGTATAAGAGAAAATTGATTATTGTCCCTTAATAACCACTACTAATAAAATTGTTATGTAACAATAATTATGGGTACACCACAATTTCTAATAAGATTTGCTAAGCAAAAATATACTGATAGAAATAGAAGAATATTAAACACAGACCTGATGAATCATCTCAATATCCTCATTTGACAGATGAGAGAAAAGAAAATCATAAATGTTGACTGATTTCCCATAATTTTCCTTTAAATATATTTCAATTTCATCCTCCAAAAAAGAATGAACAACAAATATTTAAAGGTACAAATCCAAAAGGCATGGGTATGATAAAACTAGAAGTATTAAAACAAGAAGCTAATAGTAATGGAATGAAAGGAGGCTACAGGTATGTCAAATTCACTACAAAGAATGGAATGTCAGTCTGGACAAGTAGAGATCCTGTGGAGCAAACTGACCAATATTCAAGCTTCAGCCTTTAGAATGAATATTTCTGTCTTTTTAATGTATGTATCAACAGAACTTTCCTCTCTAAGTAAATACTCAGTAAGGAAATGTTCCTATCCCTGAATTGAGACCTTAACCCCTAACATTTGATCATCCAAACTCAGTGTCGTTCAAAACAACCCAAAATGCTCACAATTTGTTTACCCTTGGTCCAGACTCTCAGGCTGATTCTCATCCCTATCTTTAGTGCTTACACTTTTATTAATTGTCCTGTTTATTATTAATTGTCTCCTTATTAAAGAAGCTGCTTAGGAAACCTATAAATATATTGTCCATAAGAAATTTATCAGCCTAGATGAATTGGGTTTGCAATTTCAACTTGTATGTCCTAATTAGCACTGTATTTATTTTCAAAGCCTAAAACAATGTCTAGTAAGTAATTAGCAATTTTTTATGAATGAATGAGTGCCTACAGAAGCATGTAATCCAAACTTCGAAAAACAAAGTTCCAACAGAAGACAAGATATAATGAGCTTAAGTCCAAACAATAAACATTTGATGGTTTTACTAACTGTCTTAGTCTTCTCCTAACCACTGACAATGCTGAACTAGATTGAAATGTAACAAAAACAATTATCAATGATTTTTAGGGCCTAAATTGAAACCATTTAAAGAGATAAAAGGCTATGACATTAAACTGCAAACTGTAATTAAAATGTTTTTAAATAGAAGTTTCATGCTATAAACTTCATGATTATAAACTTATAGGAATATAAACTTAAGACATTCCTTTTATAAATTTAAAAGGAATTGAAATGTAAGGGTTTTTAAAATAAGAGATATTTACCTCGATTGTTTCTAACTGAATTTAACTAATATATTTCTATAATTAGGCTGTTTATTTAGATAGTAGCTGCTCCTAAAACTTCAGAATTTATTTAACATTAACCAGGGAAAAAATACTCCAGGGGAAGTTTTTATATAAAATAAAAGAGAAAAAAAAACACTTTTAATGTGCATTATACCACATATCTGGATTTTCATGCACTAAGCTTACTTGAATTATGTTTTACTTCTATTAGAATGAATGAATGATAACTGAAGTTAAGCTATTTTTTTCTGGGATGGGTATTTCCCTTAGGTTTTTCTATGATTGGGGAAATGAGATGTTAGCTGCATTTACACATTTGTAAGAGTGGATCAAGATTTCCCTAAGTTAATATTTTAGGAAACCAAATAATCTTGATACTGTTATTTTGATAAAGTTCATTCAAGGTAAAGGCTGATTTACCTTGCTAAGTGGAATGCTTTAGTCATAATATGCAGCTTTTATCTATAGTTAATTAAGATAATTGCTTTAAAAGAATTTTTCCAAGAGTAATTTCATAGCTCTTCATGTCCTTGGGTGTTTTAGCCTGTGGTTTTGAGTTAAAAAACAAAACCATTTTCAAATAGACATTCATCCAGCCTCTCAAATAATTTATTAATCCTAATTGTTAGTGTATGCATACTGAAAATGTTCTCCTACTGCTTTCACATAAATCTGCAGTTCCTTGCTCTATTTAATCAATTAATCTTAATTCTGAGGCATGAATCCAGAGATAATTATTATAGATATATTTGTGGCAAACTCATTCTTATTTCAGAAATGTTTATGAAATTATAGAAATAAGAATGGTGTCCCATGAATAAAACAACAGAAAAATTAAGAATAAAATATGGTTTTTCCTGATTTGAAGTAATTTTTGAATGACTTCCAATAATACATAGATTTGGTCTTACTGCCATATTTTTGAAAAATTGGTTGTGATTATGGTAGAAGCATAGGGTACAAAATAGCTATAAGTAGCTATTAATAATAACTATCACTACTAATTATTTAATTTCAGATTTCAAATATGGACAACGAAATGTTATAAATTCAGCATCGTCTTGGAAATCTAGCTGATTCATTAGATAACACAAACACACTTAAAATATTCCCCAGAAAAAAAAAATGCTAAACTTGTATATCCTTTTGTCACATTTCTTCACTTTAAATTTTAGATATTTTTACTCATAACAGTTTAATATTCTTTACAAATTCTCAGTGTTAAAAGTTTGTCAATGCTTGTGAAGTACTGCTCTCTATGTTACTTTAGGTCTTCACTGGGATCTTCACAGCAGAAATGGTCCTCAAGATCATCGCCATGGATCCATATTATTATTTCCAAGAGGGCTGGAATATCTTTGATGGAATTATTGTCAGCCTTAGTTTGATGGAGCTTGGCCTGGCAAATGTGGAGGGACTGTCTGTACTGAGATCATTCAGACTGGTATCTGCTTAGACTATGTTTACATTCTATCTTTCATTGGCAAAACATTTATTTAAAAAATGAATCAGTGTGATTGTTTTTCAAGAATGATGAAAAATGGTTGAAAGACCTCATAATTATTAGCTGTGTAAGACACATTTTAAAATACACATGTGCTTCTAAAATTATGTTTTAAATGCATTAAAAATATTTTGCTTTAAAGTCTATAAAGAAATGCAAATAAAAAGCTTACACCCAATTAATCTTTTTATCAACTTATATTAGTAAAGGAACACAGATGAAAATGTGTTCCCATTAACATTTTAGAAAATGGTATAATAAATTGCTGAATTTGGCAAAAAAATTATTTAAAAATATGCAAACTTTTATAGGAAATTAAGTAAAATGTGTATTTTTAAAATTGATACAAGCTTTTTTATGGTTAGTTTTCTATGATTGTGGCTTTCATTCCGTCTGCCCTCTGATGGAAAAGGATAAGAGGCTTATGGAAGCTTCATGATGGGAGAGCCTGACTGAGGGGGAAACTGGGTCTTGTTCTGCTGCCCATGGGGTCGCAAAGAGTTGGACATGACTGAGCAACTGAACTGAACTTTTTATGCTTACCAAAATTAGTTCATTTACTTTTATATTTTAAATGTAAAATATTAATACATTAAATAATACATTAATACATTAAAATATATAACTCATACTTTTAATACTTCTTTTTACTCTCTAAGGTATAATCAGAGGTGACACTAGTTTGCTAAATTCACAAATGTCTGTAATTAAAATATTGATTTGTTTTTATGGACATATCTGCTGATAAATCAGAAATGTTTTATCGTTTCTAAAATATTTTCTCTCTTATTTTTGCATTTAAATGATATTATGGTTGGATTTACAATTCCAATATTATTAACTTTTTTATGGATTTGAATTAGTATGCTTTGAAATTTTATATTCCTTAAAGGTGGGTCTACAGTGTAACATACTGATAAAACATACTGTGATGTACTAAGAGTACATTTTCACTTGACTACAGCTTCGAGTGTTCAAGTTGGCAAAATCCTGGCCCACCCTGAATATGCTAATTAAGATCATCGGTAATTCAGTGGGAGCTCTGGGTAACCTCACCTTGGTGTTGGCCATCATCGTCTTCATTTTTGCCGTGGTCGGCATGCAGCTCTTTGGGAAGAGCTATAAAGAATGTGTCTGCAAGATTTCCAATGACTGTGAGCTTCCCCGCTGGCACATGCATGACTTCTTCCACTCCTTCCTGATTGTGTTCCGGGTGCTGTGTGGAGAGTGGATAGAGACCATGTGGGACTGCATGGAGGTCGCCGGTCAAACCATGTGCCTCATTGTTTTCATGCTGGTCATGGTCATTGGAAACCTGGTGGTACGTATGTATTACAAACACTCATAATTAAGAACAAGATCAGATAGTAGGTGGGACGGGGGCCTGATGCAACAGACATATCTGGTTTTACTATCAACAACACAGACTCAAATCCCAGTACTAGGACTCTGAGCAGGGACAAGTTACTTAACCTCCCTCAGGCTCAAATTCCCAACTATGAAACTGGAATAACAAAACTGAAATCTTGTGGCTTATGTGAGGATTACATGAGGTATATATATCTGTGAGAGTCTTGGGACAAAAATATTAGTTTTCCTTCTTCAAAGAAATGTTTTTAGCATCAAAACTAATTTGTCCTAATTTTATTTTTATGTCTTGAATTATTTTTTATTCTATTATTATTTTGACAAGATAATGATCTCCAGTAATTCTACACTGAAAAAAAGACTATTCTGTGCTGAAATTGTTCTTTACACATACATAGTTCATATTGTTTGTTTACTCAGAGGCATATGTTGCAAATCACCAAATTTTAAAGACAAATTTCAATGAAATCTTAGCTCTGTATTGTAATTATCCAAAAAAGTTGGAAGGGGACTAACTATATTTTTCCCAGAATTTGTTTTATTAAAGGAAAATTAATTATTGTAGTTTCATTTATACACATATATAAACATTGACCAGATTAAAAAGGCTAACTTTTAGTTCTGACTTAAAAGCACTAATATAGAAACACAATTTGTATGTTTATGTGTTTTAATGCTTATATGCACTGTCAGAGTATTTTTTATGTCATCATTCTGAACCTTTCCTTTGAGAAGTACATATCAAATGAGATTTCTTAAAAAATGGTTTGTGGGATATATGTGGACATGCAACTTTTTTCAGAATTGTAAATAAGGAAGTTCTAGATTCTGACAAATCTTATACAAAAATAGGAAATAAACTGGGGTTCTGGCTAAGTTTGTGTCTTCCTACCATGTAACATTTTTTGAAATTCAGTAACTACATTTCAAGCTAAAAATATTCCTATAAATTTTCTTTTGCATCAGTTACAATGAATTATTCCTGCATTAATCATATTTTGCCAATTAATTGGATAATATTTTCCTTCATGTATCCCAATGATATACTGAGATTTCACCACATTTTCTGCAAAAAAAAAAAAAAGGAAAAAGAAAAGTAATTTACATTATATGGGTCTAGCCTAAACCCTGTAATAATTTTAGACTTTTCTCCATCTGTTGAACTATTTGGACACATATACTTCAAAGTATATTGATGGGAAATGTGTTAAACCTTATATAATCTGCCTTTAGGTTGCTCTAAAAGTTTTTGGCCATTGGAATTTACATTTCAAGTATATTATTTTAATACAATCCCTCAGGCTATTTAATAAATAAATTCATTATTTATACACACAATGCTAGACATTCCCTAGACAAACTGGTAAAATGACTAAAATGAAAATATCCCATTTTTCCTCTTTGGCCAAAACCACAAAAATGGGATTTTGTGTTTTCACTAGCAACCGTAAGTAGACACAGTTTAAATCTCAGAAGCTCCAGTTTCCTGGTTGTCCTCTGTTTGAAAGGAAATCGTTTGTTTTACCATTTTGCCCTTTGAGCGGGTAGAAGATACCAGATTCTTTAAATAGCATGTGACTAAGACGTGTCTGAAATACAGCAAACAGTCAAGAAGCATTTGTTGAATTAATTTTAGCAAAGAGCTGTGATTCCTCTGCTTAACCTATTATGTTTATACATATTTCAATATTAATACAGCAAAATTTTCTTTTTTTCTTTTAGGTTCTGAACCTCTTTCTGGCCTTATTGTTGAGTTCATTTAGCTCAGACAATCTTGCTGCTACTGATGATGATAATGAAATGAACAATCTCCAGATTGCAGTAGGAAGGATGCAAAAGGGAATTGATTATGTGAAAAATAAGATACGGGAGTGTTTCCAAAAAACGTTTTTCAGAAAGCCAAAAGTTATAGAAATCCATGAAGGCAACAAAATAGACAGCTGTGTGTCTAATAATACTGGAATTGAAATAAGCAAAGAGCTTAATTATCTTAAAGATGGGAATGGAACCACCAGTGGTGTAGGTACTGGAAGCAGTGCTGAAAAATATGTAATTGATGAAAACGATTATATGTCATTCATAAACAATCCCAGCCTCACTGTAACGGTGCCAATTGCTGTTGGAGAGTCTGACTTTGAAAATTTAAATACTGAGGAGTTCAGCAGTGAGTCAGAACTAGAAGAAAGCAAAGAGGTAAGAATGATTTTAAAGTTTTTCTTGCATTCCTTATAAAAACCATCTACCACAGTTACTAAGAATTTTTATTGTGCTTATAGGCATTATTAAAAAGTATATTAAAAGCCATATATATAGTAATGTTGGAAAACTATCAGATATTCTTCTTTGGGAATTCCTTCCATTGAAATTCCAACTTTTCATAGGAAATCATCATTCTGAATAGTCAGTATATTCATCTTCTTGATTTTAAAGTCTGATTAAAAAATATGGCCTTCCAAAAAGGAGATTTTATTTAACACATTCTTCTACATTATGCTCTTTAGAAAAATAAACAAACAAACCATATTTTACTGATCATTGTGAGTGTCGTCTCTTTACTTTCTATAATACATTAAGTTTTGCTATGATACTTTAATGTTTTGTGCAGTTTTGTTCACCTCTGAACCTTTTATTGACTACTGATAAGAGTGTTATTCATTTATGAAAATTGTATACATATTAGGAAAATAAGAGTAGTAATGATTACATTTTGGCCCAGTCAAGGAAGAACATATTTATAAGGTCTTCCAGATTAACCTAGAAAATACTAAGAACTATTTGGAAAAACTCCACTTAAGGATTATAGCTGAACTGTAGACTGAAAAGCTATTCTTACTGTCCTATTACTACTTATTTAAAAGAAAAGGAAAGAGGAAAGGCAATGTTGTTCTTGCAGGATTAGAATTCACAGGAGTCTATAATAGTAGTTCAAGGCTATTAATTCTCCAATTCTGTGTTGTGGAGAGCAGGATTAAATTTTTTACTACTACTTATTTATAGAGTTCTGATATGCTAGTAGGAAGTTAAGTCTAGCACAGAGTTATAAAGACAGGTTTTAACTTGAAAGTACCAATGGTGACACCATAGGAATCAGACAAATGACATCTGATTCTGTGAGCATATTTGCATAGTTTGGAACCTTCTTTTTTTAATAACAGTGGCAACAGAATTTGTATAAGTAGCTGACAGTGTCACAATGCACATGCCTTTTTTTCAGGCATTTCAGAGCTTCTGAGATATAGTATAACAGTAAATTTCGAAATATTTCAAAAAAGGTAAAAATACATACAAAATGAGGTATAATATCCTTTCTCTGAAATTCCATTCAATGTCTGCTTAATGAGTTCAATTCTAATTTATGTGCTGCTCTTTCTGGTAAGATAAGAATTCAATTCTAATTTCATTTCCCATCACTGGACAAAGATTTACTTAAGAAAATCATCAATTAGTTAACAAACATTTATTGAGTACTTCTGTGAACTCCGCACTCCGCTGGGCAGTAAGGGTAAAGGAAGAGATAAAGGAGAGATTCATAATATAACCCTCTTCAGGGAATTCTCAAAATCTCCAAGGAAGCTAATGCTAACTCACAAAATCATTAAAGGCCTATTAAAAAGTTTAATCCTAAAGGACTGACTATAAGACTATAAAGACTATAGGTACTGAGAACAGCAAGAACATAGCAAATTGCTAAATGAAGAGATAAAATTGAAGTAGGCCTCGAAATGTGGGTCAAATACATAAACAGAAAGCCAAGGCAGAAAACTACTAAACAAAAGCCAGAGTTAGAGTGAGCTTGGTAGTTAGGTGCAGCAGTGAAATAATCAGTATGAAAAATGTATTGGTTGAGAAAGTGGAAAAATACATTTGAGTGAGTAAGGTAGTTTCAGATACTACAGTCTTGAAAATCAGCCAAAGAGTTTGGAATTGGCTACATGATCAATAAGCTATCTGTTCTGAAGCAGGTGAAAAGCAATAGAAAACTGATGTTTTAGGAAAATTTATTCCATAGTAATGAGTAAAGCAGTTTAGAATGAGGAATAAGGGTTATCTTGGGGAATAATGAGGTAACAATCATTTGATAATAATGAGGTGATAGAAATATGGGCTATGGTAATAAGTATGGCAGATGAGACTAACTGGCAATTTGACAAACCTAGTAAAGAGTCTGAGAAATTGGAAAAATGGTAATGCAACTGTCTGAAATGATCTTTTAGGTTACCAGGTTTATGGGAGAAGAAGGAATTCAACCGGGATATACTGAATTAGAAGTGGGATACAGTGGGAACCACAGCCTGGATGAGCAGTCAGGGTTTAAAAATAGATATAATAACACAGATTTCATCACTATCTGATTCCTTAAAAACAAAGGAGTTCACCACAGAAGTAACTGCAAAGAGAAGACAAGGGAAGACTAGGGACAAGACTAGCTTGGGGTCAAGAAGAGACAGAAAAGCCAAAGAGGTTGAAAAATTTTGCTACATTAATATTGTAGGTTTCATCTCACTGCACTCTTGGAAATGATATGTTAATTTCTTTCTACCAAAAAGTTGGGTTTCCAGAATACTTCAAAAACTATGATGTCCACAGATATTTCAAATGACTGCTTTAGAAGACTTCCACCTTATTAGCATATCTTTTTAATAGCTAAAAAATCATAAATTTGGAACAAGGAAATATATCTTTATTTTCAAGCCATTGAAAACATTTTATTATCGGAATAAAATTTCTTTTTTGGGTGAATTTTTAAAATAATCATCTGTCCTCTTCCTAGCTAGTTTTGGGTAGGCAGAATCCAGTTACCAAATTAAATTGTTTAAAATATACAGATATAATAGAGGGAAAATACTTGCAAATTAATATAAAATCAAATACTTCTATAAAGTTAGGATAAAACTTCAAGTTATTTTGCACAGTAAAATTAAATTCAAGCATAAGTTTTATGTGGATGAATTTTTTAAATAGTACCAGAAAAACCTTTAAAAATAATAGGGCAATCCTCACGTATGCTCACACAAAGTTTAAAAGTACAGTTGGCCACTGAACAACATGAGAGTTAGGGGTGTCAACCCTACACCCAGTTGAAAATCTCAGTACAATTTACAGTTAACCTTCCATATACAAGGGCTTCCCTGATAGCTCAGTTGGTAAAGAATCCAGCTGCAATGCAGGAGACCCCAGTTCGATTCCTGAGTTGAGAAGATCCACTGAAGAACGGATAGGCTACCCACTCCAGTATTCTTGGGCTTCCCCTGTGGCTCAGCTGGTAATGAATCTGCCTGCAATGCAGGAGACCTGGGTTCGATCCCTGGGTTGGGAAGATTCCCTGGAGAAGGGAAAGGCTACCCACTCCAGGGAATTGTCTGGCCTGGACAATTCCAAGGGCTGTAGGTGTCGCAAGAGTAGGACACAAAGCGACTTTCACTCCATATACATGGTTTTGTAACTGCAGTTCCACATCAGCAAATTCAGCCAACTGAAGACCCTACAGTACTGTAGCACTTACTACTGAAAAAAATCTGTGTGTAAGTGCACCTGAGTAGGTCAAACCTGCATTGTTCAAGGGTCAACTGTACACTGTTTTTAAAAACAAAAGCAAAAATCAGCATTATAGAACAAATTTAGATAAATTCCAGCAAATTTCAGTTTTGATCTGAAATCTCTGAAAACTACTGTCATTGAACACAGGTCACAAGTCAGATTTATATTTATGTTGGCTGGGTTGTTCTTTTTTAATAGCTATAGCACATACACACTCATACGTACACACACAAATTAAAAAATAATGTGTCCATAAAATAGCATTTTGGTTTACACTTATTAGTTTTTTGAACACAAGTAGAAAAAGCACATTGGGCTGTGCTTTGGGGGACACAAAATATCTTTTTGCTGACAAAGTGAAAAATCATACAAGTTAAACCTAACAGAATGATGTATTTCAAAAGAAAGGAAAAAAGAAAAGAAAAAAAATTTTTGCAACATTATTTGTGCTTTAAGAAGAGGCAGTAAATTAATCATTAATTTAGATAGTACTTAAAAACTCTATTACTTCCACTCATTTTCATAATAAAGTATATGCAGCTATACCACAATTGAGGGGAAATGATCTCTAGAAATTTTTAAAAATAAAAATATGAATTGCTATTATATTACATAATATAAATTTTATATATGTGTATCTATCTATGGACCACTAGCATAAACAGACTGGTATAGAAATAAAGTTTTGCATGAAAAAAATTTAAGGAAATTGAAGGCATGGATTTCAAAATAGTGTTCTTTTCATTTTGGCAAGCTTGTAATTATACCTGTCTTGTGACAAGATTTAATATAGAATTTTGCTTTTATATTTTTACAGTTCACATAAACATAATTTCTTGACATTTTTATGTAACTATGGATTTTTACAATTTAGTTCTTAAAAGGTTTCATTGTCTTCCTAGGTGAAGGATATAGAATAAATGCTCTTAAGAATCATATTTGAAGTTGAATTCCATAGCACAATCTAGGAATATCATCCTGTGACCTTCACTGCTTACCATTCTTACTTCTCACAGGGGTAAAATCAAGCTGGAGCCATCAAGAATGAAACTCTGGTGTTTTAAAACCAGCCAGAGGCTCGTGTCACCACTTTTACCCAGGTTACCCAAGCAAGTTGTACATGTACAATCACTTTCTAAATAAATTTTGACTGGCCTGCATGCTACTCAGCTGTGTTCCTTCCCCTGCCATGGCAAGGAAGTGCTAGACGTGCCCAGCTGCTGTCTGCTGAATCGTGTGACACGTCACAGCATGGTCAGGCAAGATGGGCAGTCCCAACACCACATCTGATTCTGCTAATGACTCTCCAGTTTAGTCTTTTTAGGCTTTTAAAAGCAATAATTGCATGCTCTATAGGATTTATATCTATTTTTAAATGATAGAAATGTTTAAAGTTCAATTTGAGAGCATGCACTTTTTTTCTGCTTTTGTTTCATTAAAATAAGATCACAACTTTTTGCTGTTGTTGATTCAGCCCTTATAAGTAAATTGTATTACCAAAATGAGGCTCGCAGGTTTTTTTTTTAAATAGTATTGCCATTTTCAGACCATTATATTCAGATCTGTGAATATAATTTTCGACCCATCCAATTCGTGTGCTCCAGATGGAAATGTTTGCTTTCATGTTTTGGGGGAAGCCTCTGTTAAAAAAAAAA